AAATGTTTTCGAGTTGACTATGACCTCATAAAGAACAAAATCCTAACGGACGAAACAAGTGCCATTTGAGGCGCCAAATCACCTGTTGCCGACCGGATGTAAGTGCCCAGTAAAAAGCACTTTGCATTTCCTTGTCGACTGTCAGCTCTTTTATTATTTTTATCATCATATCTTGGGAGTACATGGCCGTTAAAAGAGTTTGTTTGCAATAAAGCGAAATTTCTAAAATGGTAAATAGTACCTGCCGCCTATAGAGTCGTGACAAAATTGCCCGTTTATTATTTTTGATTTTTACTTTGTTGTCCAAGACACGTTCGAAGAGTAATTAGAAATAGAAATTCCCGGTAAATTTGCAGATATTACCGGCACGCAAATAATATTTCATGTTTCATTGGTTTGTAATTGGGTACGAATTTAATTATTGATTATTTCCAAGGAACTTTGGCAGAAATATGTACAATGTTTTTCAAAACTGACTTTTTATTTATTTTATTTGTTGTCCATATCAACAACACAGCGTTGCCGAGTTATTCAAACTTAACTTGATTATTTTTGTAAGTTTATAAAAACCAACAGAAAATTCAGTCATTATTATAGTGGGAATAACCTACTAAACATTAAACATTATTTTACTACAAGTCCAATGGTCTTGGGTTCGAATCCCATATGGGTTATGGCTGTTTATTTGTGTTTGTCCAGGGTTAAGTGGTAGAACAGCTATGCTGAACTTCGCCCTTTGATCAATAAAGACTAAAAAAAATAATATGACATCTGTCAAAACCTAACAAAATATTATAATAAACGTCAAATAGCTATTTGTTTATTAAGAGCGCAAAGTGATACATTGCCGGTCTGAGCGAGAAGTTTGGCTATCTCGCGAGAGCGGCAATGTCACTTTGCGCTCGAATTACACACAATATTTTTTCTACAACCGGTGTTTCTATAAGAATGTTTGGTAAAAATTAATAATTATTAACCTCAAATTTGACGTTTGTGTCAAAAGTCGCAAATACACTAAACGTTTTTTTATTATGGTTTCCATGGTAACTAAGCGAGCGAAAAGTGCAATTTTGCGCTTTCTTTTGGAAGCGCAAATTTGTACTTTTCGCTTGGTTGTAGAAAACAATTATTTATTGTCACTCAAAACATGTCTGTATACTTACTTTAAAAGCCTATTACGTAAAATTGACTATTAATTGATCATTTATAAATTTTGTATTTATAAGGACATGATAATATTAATGAATACAACCGGCATTAAAAACAGTTAATCTTTAATATAAAACATTTTAATTATTAAAAATATTTGCCATAAGGTCTTTCACTACAAATTTGTATTTAATACTTATTTACTTTAATATACAGGGTGATTCACATAACTGATTCATTAGAGGTTGATGGAGAACTGAAAGAGAAATCAATCTTCAATTGTTTTTGAGATACTGCAATGTATTAAATGTATATCTGTATTACCAACAATTGTAATGTTAAAAAGATAATTCTTGGCATAGATACACCTTAACAAAGAACTATCCCATCAAAAGCGATTAATAGTATTCCAAAATGTTAGACAGAGTGTTTGGTTTTTCCGTTTACTTTTAATGACACTTTAAATGCCAAAAATATTTTAAATAAAATGTCCCGTATTTTCAAATCATTTGACACATAAACTCTATAATTATTATTCTCCATGGAAGATTACTTTTATATTACTTTTTTGTAAAAAATATTAAACAATTAGGTATATAAATTTGTATTAATTTGTAAAATATAATTTAAATATGTATATAATTTATAATTTTATAAGGCGTCTTTCAGAAATATTACCCTTTTAGTTTTGTTTTACTTAAAGTTCTTTATTAATAGTTTTTTATACCAATATAAACCTTTAAAAGTTCCCAGACACACACATTTTTTTTACGGTTATAAAGTGGTTTTAATATAGTAAAAATTTGATTTATGAATAAAATTTAGTGTAGAAAGTAGAAAGAAAAAATCACTAAAATACTTCTAAAACTATAGTTATTAAAGAAAGTAAAAAAATATATAATAAAAACTTTTGTATTTGACAAGAATTTTTACAACTTATTAACGAACTGTCAAATGATTTAAAAATTATTTGATGGTTTGTTTTCTTGACAGAAATTGGCAGCCCTACATTTAGAAATACCAGTTACCAATAAGAAAAACTACCACATTTACCTGATCAAAATCAGATTTAATCAGAAAATTTAAACTATACATGTTTTTTTCGTTCTTAATTTGTTTTTAAGATAACAACAGGTTATACCTAAATTATAATGAAAAATGGAACAAAGTGCTTTTACCAATTTAAATGAAATGAAGTGCTTAGGAAAGGACTTATTTTGAGTTTTAAAAGGACGTAAAGACCGTCACATCGACTTTTTTAAGGATGTATTGTAATTTTTAATTTATTGTAATTTTGTTAACACATTTTAAAAGTAATGCATTTATTTTCTCAAGTCAAAATAAAAACTATTAAAAAGTGCTTTTACCAACTGTTATTAGAAAAAAGCAATAATTTTCAAATTTAATAGGTCAACATTATTTGTTGAATAACAACTTATTGGCTGGCTATGTTTTTTAGACATTTTTTAAAATTTGTTACACTTGCTGAAAAGCGAAAAAATGTATTGTTCGGTAATGTAGTGTGGCTAAACGTTTTCTGGTCTGTTGGAAACATCCTTGAAGTGTCGACCTTTGCTACTTAGTTTAGTCTTATTTTTCTTTAAAAAATGATATTGTACAAAAACTACAATGAAACAAAATATGTACATTGTACATAAATTGTTTCAATATTCTATTTGATTTAATTTCTCTCCATAAATTAAACTGAATAGTTTTTTCTACTCCCACCTTTAAAACGCTCATTATCGTACATATTTCCATAACACTAAGTGGCATTTTTAATACACATTGACAAGCTGTGTGTTTATGGCGCTTTAGTCACGGGCTAAAGGTAGCAACAGGTTTTTAGTCGCGGGCTGAAGTTAATTTTAAGTTAGTTGACGATTTTTAAATGTTTCTTGTAAAATAATATGTACGAATGTGATAATTATTTTATTATCTCAATGCAAAAGAAGTAAATAGTTTTTTGACGCCAATATTTGAAAAGATTATATGAATGTTTATAACGTTTGATTTCGCCGTAGTAGTGCAGTTAACTAGATTTAACTGATAAAGCGTTAACATTTTTACGTACAGTGCCCATAAAACATTCTATATTATATTATATCGATTGTTAGTATATTTTTAAGTGATACATTTTGATTTACACAGAAAAAATTGATACATTAACGCCAGTAGATTTTCAAGTTAGAAATTCTAACGTGAATTTCAATAAATACAACTCACTTTTTGTTTCCCGTTTAAGAATTTTTAATACTTTGTGATAATATTTTGAAATTATATCAAAGAATAACATATTTTCTTAGTATAATCTTATTTTGAAGTTATTTTAATATTTTAAAGTATCAATACTTGTTAAGTTTAATTAAATTAATATCGGGCAATGTTAATGGTGAAAATTAAGTCTCTTTAAACAAATATTTAATTTAAATCATTTTTTCTACTCCCACCTTTAAAACGACCATTATCGTACATGTTTAAACATGGAATTCCATGATACTAATTGACCTTTTAAATACACATTGACAAGTTGTGGCTTTACAGCGTTTTAGTCACGGGCTGAAGTTAGCAACAGGTTTTTAGTCACGGGCTGAAGTTAGTTTTAAGTTAGTTGACAGTTGTCAAATGTCATACAATCGTTAAAATAAAGTGACTTTCTTGTAAAATAATACTAAATGTGAAAATTATTTTATTATCTCAATACAAAAATACAAAAGTATTAAATAGTTTCTCAACGCCAATATTTGAAATGTTTATATGAACATTGTAATGACCTTTTAATTTCGCCGGCAGTAAACTATAACTTAAATTCGGGCACGGACTCCACTGTAAAGTGCTCATAAAACATTTTCTTTACTTTCACTGTAAAAAACTGTGCATTTTCAAGAAATACATTTCTATTTAAAACCTTTATAATCTGTGTTAATAAAATATAAAAATTTGACATTTGACGGTGACACACAGATTCCCCTATTGTTTCATAGATGGCGCTCTATAAAAATATTTGATTTAAATCATTTTAAGATAATATTAAGTATTTGTCGTAGAAAAAGTATAGTATGCACCTCGTTTATAAACTTTTCTATACCCTCATTAATTTAAGAATTCGCTCGTGTATAAAATGGCGTTTATCAAACTTGATACATAATATACTATTTTAGATAATATTAAGTATTTGTCGTAAAAAAAGTAAAGTATGCAACTCGTTTATCTACTTTTCTAGGCACTAATTTAATTAAGCACTCGCTCGTTACTAAATTAAATTCGTGACTAAAAGGACGTTTAACAAACTTACATAGTAACTATGCCTATAAACTGTCAAAAGTATGCCATTAATAATTACATGTACAATACTTGTCGATGTTAAACCAAAATTTCACTTTCCCATCATCTTCAATTTTTTGCAATTATCGCCGACATAATCGCAAAAAAGCGAGGCCGATTGTTTCGGTAAAAGTTGACGATCAGCTGTGCGTTTGTGCAGTCGCCGCACTCGTTTGTTGTTTTATTTATGCGTACATAAGAAGAAATCAAGTTTGCAGTGAAAGTGGTCATCGGGCGCGGGCCATTAGGAAACAAATGACCGACGAGTCGGCGAAGGCCTCGGTCAGCAGATCTGAAATGCGCCAAACAGCTTTCCTTTCAAGGTCCTTAAACCCATTCGGCCGTGCCTTCGTGCAATAAAAACTAATTATCGACGTTTTAATTAGATTAATCGGATTTTGCTTGGTTGTGAAATGACTGCATCGATCGTTGTCTGTTTTATGGCAAGTTTTGTGAACAATAAATTGCACAAATCTGATATAAACCATCGTTCTAAATTTGATCTAACATTGTTATTATTTTTTCAGGGTACCGATTCGTGGGTTTCCGTCCATAACCTTCAGTCGCAAGGCGGGGGTATTCTGGACCCCGATGATAAATTAAACGACGTCGCCGACGATAGGGAGCAAATTTTGGCCAGCTTCGAAGATGGCGAAGGCGCCCATATACATGGAGGAGGCGACGGTGCAAGCGGTAGCTCTGTGGGTACTGGCAGTCCAGATATATTCCACGTAAGTTAAAAAATATATTTAATTTACACATTTTATTGTTTCGACTTTTACTTAATGAAACTACATGTACAGGGTGATCCCCTATAATGTCGTCCCCCTTTAACTTTTTTATTTTAAGTATCCCAAAAAATTTAAAAGTGTGGTTATGTAGGTACTAAAAATACTTTTTTTCTACGTTTAAAATTCTAAGCATATTTCATATAACATACCATATACCTAAATTCAACCGTTTCTGAAATATATAAATTATTTTTAAGATAATAAGTTGAAATAGTTTGTCTTTCTCTGTCTGAGTACGCCATTTTTACAAGACATTTGGACATAATGTCACTATAGTAATTTATTTTCAATAAAAGTTTTGGTATACTAAGCCTGCTTGATTTCTAACATTTAATGATAACATTTCGAATGCGAATATTTCAGAAACGGTTGAATTTATGTAAATGGCTTGTTATATGAATCATGCTCAGAATTTTACAAGGAATCGAAAAATAAATTCGTACAGGGTGTTATGTAATTAATGTTAAGAAGCACCTGATACTTTTTTTTTCTAAATTCCAATGTCTAAAAATAATTTATAATAACCTTTATCCTACCAAAAAGTACGCCACTGATCGACTTTAGGTTAATCTGGTGGATTTATTATGTTATGGTTGGTAACAACAGTGTTTCCAAAATCTCTCAAAAAAGTTGACAAACATTGTTTAAATTTAGCTTAATTACAAAAATGACAAAATTAACAATGCAAATTGTCAATTTGGCGTTTTTATTAATTGTTATTTCATTTTTGTACTGAAGGTAAATTCAAACAAAATCTCCAACTTTTATGACAGAATCTAGTGCATTTCTTTTAAATTTTAGGTTATGTTTTCAAATTGTAAATATCTTAACTAAGGGAAGTGCTTTTGGATTTATTTACACAAATTAAATGTTTAAAGTTTAACCTGTGAACTGGTCCCAATTTCATCTGAGTAAACAGAGAAAAAAACTGATGAAAAAATTAATTTTGTGGTTATGGATTTCAAATTTCAAAGGTACTAAATTGTCTAATCTTTGCTTAAGCTAATAGCTGGATCAGTAAATAAATACAGAAGGGTATTAGAGCTTTAAGGGCATAAAACTTTTGTATTTATTGAGTTTTTATTTATTTTTTGCAAGAAAAATTTTAGTAAGAATTTTTTACATCTGGCAACGCATAGCTACTTTGTTGGTTGGTATCTATGTACTCACAAAATACAGGTGTGCAGAGATAAACAAGTGTGTAACCAGTGGCGTATCACAAAAAATATAAAAAACTTCTAATGCATATTTTTTCTTTATCTTTGGAAAAATGTTTTTTTAAATTTTTTTCCTTTATTCCTTATGTCAAAAGGTATTCAGTATTTTAATATATAACATTAATTACATAACACCCTGTGTATAGGGTGATCCATTGAAAAAAAATAAACTTTTTGTTTTTCCCTGTATAAAGATCAATTTTCCAATTTTCTTTATACGTAGAAAAAAGTATTTTTTAGTACCTACATAAGCACACTTTTAAATTTTTTGGGACACTTAAAATAAAAAAGTTAAAGGGAGGCGACATTATATGGGATCACCCTGTACCTAATGTACCTAGAACTAGATAAAAAACACACACTGTTTTTTGGTTTTCATGAATTTATTTTAATTTAATTTTGACAATTGTTTCCCTAAAACAGTTGCTTCTTCAGAAATGATTTCAAACTTTATCTAAGAACAAACTTAAATAACTCAATTATTGTATAAAACAACAAATGATAAACCTAAGAAAGATACGAAATCCGGAGTCTACCAACTACAATGTGCAGACTACAAAAACTTACATAGGCCAAACAGGCCAAAATTTTAAAAAATTAAAAAAATCTGAAATTATCCTCAATGATCAAATGGAAACAAATATTTTATTCTCCTCTATTAAATTTATTCTAAAGCTTCGTACAGACCTGAGCATTGAGCCGAACAACAAGCAGAACAACGAACCGAACGGCAAACAGAACGGCAAATGGCCTTTTTTGATTTCGACGATCCGAACAACAAACGGAACGTTCGTGCTGTTCCCATAATTGCTCGTAGTAAATCTCAGTTAGAGTTTTACTAAAGATGGAAAAAAGTGTAGCAATCTCCTCCCAAGCATCTTGTTTTTTAATTTTATTAAAATGGTGTGGGTGTTTTGGTTTCCACAACAACTCTTTTTTTTTTTATAAATATCAATTAGATCCAGAGATTTTTCTTCTGTCCACTCTATTTACTTGTGTTGAACTTTAATTATATTAAAATAAACAAACTCGCTTAAAGGAGGAGACAAATAAACACTTAAATGAGAACAATTCACTGGTCTGTTCGCCGTTTTGTTTTGACCCGTCCAAACCTCCGAACGCATTCGCGAGCATTTCCTTTGATGTTGAAGGAAAAACCGACAAGTGATGGGAACGGGGCGAACCGTTCGCCGAACGGTCAGGATTCGCGAACATGTTCGCAAACGCGTTCGCAGCCCCGTCCAAATTGGTGTTCTGTTTGCCGTTCGGTTCGTTGTTCGGCTTGTTGTTCGGCTCAATGCTCAAGTCTGTACGAGGCTTAATATTATATAAGATAAAAAATCCCCCAAAAATTGTTTTATTACAACTTTTGTTACAATATACTTTGACAAGTAAAATTGTCATATTCTACTTATATTTTCATAAAAAACCCATTACCTGCAATAATTGTGTTATAAGTTTGTTATTAGATACTTTGAAATCATTTCTGAAAAAGCTACTGTGTTATCGAAACAATTGTCAAAATTAAATTAATATAAATTCATGAAACTCAAAAATTTGTTTAATTTACACCCCATTTTTTTTTTACTAAAAAACCAAAAAACATAAAATTTTCTAAAAAACATCCCCAAAGTTTTTTAAGATTTAATAAGATGATGACTACAAAAATAAATTTCCAAATTATTTTTATGAAGTCCAATTGTTTACAATGATTTGTTTTTGTAGAAATATTAATATTTATTAATATGTAGTGTAATATAACGTTTTTAAAACATTAACTTAAGAGATTATTTAATTTTTCTAATTGTTTCCATGACACTAAGTGACCTTTTAAATACACATTGAAAAGTTGTGGCTTTATTGCGCTTTAGTCACGGGCTGAAGTTAGCAACCGGTTTTTAGTCACGGGCTGAAGTTAGTTTTAAGATAGTTGATAGTTGTCAAATGTCATACAACCGTTAAAATAAACTGCCTTTAGAGTAAAATAATACTAAATGTGAAAATAATTTTATTATGTCAATACAAAAATACAAAAGTATTAAATAGTTTCTTGACGCCAATATTTAAAAAGATTATATGAACCCTTAAGCCTAAATTATGTTCTTCTACATTTAATACACTAGTGTTTTAAGTGGGGAAAAAGTGAGGTTAAAACTGTTTGACAGATGTCACTTTCGAAAAAAAGTTAGGTTTATCTGAATATTCAACGTTTACATAATTTTCTAAACAATAAAAAACTAATGACCGTGCAAAATATACTTTATTTGTGTTAAACGTCTTCATTGTATTTGGGTAGGTGTGTTAATTGTAGGTAGTTTAGTACCTATTATTCTCTCCCAACATAATAATTATTCATCCCGTGGAATACTCATTAAGTGGTTCTTATGTAACAAACAATCCTAATACTTTTTCCATTTTTGTACATATCTCTTCATCTATCCTTATTGGCAAATCGTGGAACGTTTAACCAACCAGTCTATGAAGAGAATAAAGTAGATGCACACGTGTTCATTTTTTTAAAATTACTGTTGTTATGTACACGTGCGATTTAAGAATTTTGAAGTATTTGCGTGTAATTAAGTATCCATTCTTGCAGGATGGCGATCACAAATACGGACCCAATTATCCAAGGACAGATATCGAAGTCACCGGTGAACAGATAGCATCTGGTGTGCCGGGTGTTCTACAAGTGAGAAGAGGTAAGGTTACTTTAGTATTTGTATTACAGGGGTCCCACACCTCCTAAAACTTATAAAATTCCTAAAATTGCCATTAATCTCCTAAAAAATTAAATTTAAATAGGCCAACCTGAATGCGTTTAATTAAAAAGTAATTTAAAAAATTTATATTTCTGGTTTCTTTTAAAATAATATATCACAACTTGCATTTTTCTTAAAAAACAACAAACTATACCTAAAAAACAAAATCCATGTAGTAGCTACTAGACTTCTACAAAATTGTCATGTTTATAGCCATATTTCGTTTGTTTTCGACAAAAATATACCGTTTTATATATCAAACAAAAGAATTTTTAATTTTTAATCTAAAGAATGTTTTGCTGTATTGTGCAAACTTCATATTTTTTTTCTATTATGAGATTTTTAAGTATTAAGATCCACACTAAAATTATTGTTAGTTATTAACTAAACGGTTAACATAGTTTGACTTTGGCCTTTTTTTATCCAAATCTATCGACGCGTTTTTTAAATAAAACTAAAAGTGTGGTGAAATGTCTACTTCTGTATATACTTCAGATATACAAGGTGTCCCTAAACTTATTGGCATAAATTTATTAAAAGATTGAGCAAGTCAAAATAAGACGAAAACCTAAATAAATATTTTTCCTAATTACTTATGTTTCCAAGATACAGGATGATAAAGTGTTACTTATCTATCATTTTTTTAAATATAACTTCTACTATGGTAGTCTTGGAAAGGTAATATTTTGCGAACAGTCACTTACTACCAAAACACATATTCACACATAATTACAATTGTTTGAGTGAACACAGTGTCGTAGAAACGGGGGTTGCTTTAAGCTTATTGTCCCTTACAAACTGTGAGGTTAGGTTTTTATAACATTTGATGCAATTTTTCGATTACACAGTTCGCCTACCTCTCAATCTTCGATAAAATAAACCGTTTCCGAGATATTCCAGATTACAATAATTGTTGTATCGCATTATTTAAAAGGTATATGATAACAAATTTTATTTTTTAATTGTAAAAACTTAAAAGGGCATTCCATGAGCCTCGGGACTTTTTGTCCAGACTGTCACATTAAAAAAAAATTGTAGTTTTTTTCAATTAAAAAATTTGTTATCATATACCTTTTAGTCCTTTAATGCGATATAACAATTGAGGAGTGACCATTCAAAACGAGACATGTCCATTTTAGCGATTTTCAGAAATAAGTCAAAAGCAAAAGAATTCTGTTATTTTTGACTTGTTTCTGCAAATCGCTAAAATGGACATGTCTCGTTTTGAATGGTCACTCCTCAATTATTGTAATCTCGAATATCTCGGAAACGGTTTATTTTATCGAAGTTTGAGAGGTACACATTCTTAATAGTAGCCGAACTGAGTAATCGAAAAATTGCATGAAAAGGTATAAAAACCTAACCTCAAAGTTTGTATGGGACAATAAGCTTAAGCAACCCTTGTTTCTACGACACTGCGTTCACTCGAACAATTGTAATTATGTGTGAATATGTGTTTTGGTATTAAGTGACTGCTCGCAAAATATCACCTTTTTAAGTCCATAGTAAAAGTTATATTAAAAAAACTGATATGATAAGTTGATATGATAAGTAACACTTTATCACCCTGTATCTTTTAAACATACCTAATTAGGAAAAATATTTATTTTGATTTTTGACTTGCTTAATCTGCTTCTAAATTTATGCCACTATGTATAGGGACACCTTGTATACAAAAGTAGTAATTTTACCCCACTTTTAATTTTATTGAAAGAAACTCAAACTAGTCAATATAACTTATTTGTACAAGAGAAGTGATATTTGTTTATATTTTTTTTAAGAATTATTATTATTATATTATTTTTTCTTATTTTTTAAATACAGTGTAAAATTGTTTTTATTTAATTACATAAATTCATTTACACACTTTATTTTTCGGAAATTTCTCCAAAAAACTTACTCAATTCCTCAAAATTTTTAATTTAGCCTTGGGAGCCCTGGTATTATTTGTAAAAATTAAAATGTTTAAACACATTTTGTAATCTGTATCACACTTAATTTACATTGTTATATTTTTTGAAATATTCACTGTACGGTTTTGGAATTTTTTACATTTGTTAACCTGTTTCTGTATATTTTTTTAAGTATGTTTTTATATTATAAAGACCTACTGTTAATAATAGGTTCGTTCATACAAAGTCCTAAACTATAATATTTCTTTCTTAATTCTCAGGTAGCGAGCCGGCGCTGAACCAACTTCCGGTCGGACCTCCGGCCCCATCGGAGCACACGAAACGATGGAGCGCCGCCCCGCTGATCCTGGAGCCGCCCAGTTCCGGGTACGCGAGCCCGGACTGGATGGAGGACTCCAGGGAAGAGGACGAGGATCACAGCGGATTTAAACGGGTTGGCCAGAACGGAAGCAACAGGTTGTCGATGCAGTTTCTCGGAGACGGTGCAGGGTAAGTTCCAATGGTTTTATCAAGTTTACTTTTTATCGACCAGACAAAAAGGGGTAGGTCGTTATTTTTTAACGAAATTTTTTTTACAGTTTCTGTACCGAAATCGATGAGACCTGTATTTTTTCTTTTTGCTTAAATTTGTTTTGTTCACCCGTAGGGCATTTTTGAATAATGGACATAAACATCGATTTTTCTCTTTTTACAAGTGACATTTTTTCTTGAAAATGCGATAACTTGGCCAATAATGTTTCGATCGTTGCAATTTTTTTTTAAATTGTAGGTAAATGCTTTCAACATACAAAAAATTTATAAAAAATCAATTAATTTTTTAATGTTTTGTTTTCTAAAAAAGGCAACAAAAAAATTGAAGAAAATTGACATTGCCACATTTATTTTTACTTCATATTTTTTTCGTTTGAAGTTGATAATATGAAAACTTTCACCAAAAGCCCCGAGTTGGCCAATTCGTCGTTTCGAAATTATTATTTTAATTCATTATTTTTAACAAAATAGTATATTAAAGTACAAGTTGCAGAAGGCCACATATTCTCGCACGAATTCGAAATTTGGCCTCGAGCGACGAAGGAGCGAGTGGACGAACGAATGAGTGCGAGAATAGCCTTCTGCAACGTGTGATTTATACTATTTTCTCGATTTTAACTTTTATTTAGGTTTTTTTAATTGTTTTGTGGTCGTTGTTAGTTAGGGGATTTTTCTCGCAAAATGTCAGTTGGCAACACAAAATGACAATATTTGTTATCCTTCACAAGTACAACCTGAACTGCACTTTTACACATTAAACTTAAAATTTTGCATTAAAATGCATTGTTGGAGCAAACTTTATATTACAAAACAATAATAAAGGCTTCATTTTCAATAAAAGTAATGAACTTGAGGTTATTAATCAGTTTGACATTTTGGGGGTACCAATACTTAAAAACTAAATGTTACCAAAAATCGTTTAAGAATGAGCTTCATTCTTCAACGATTTTGCGTGCGAGAATATGACATTCTTACATAAAAATCGAGAAATGTAATTTTCTGGTAAATTCGTGGTCCATCGCAAAAATTTATTTTTTTATCTAGGGACATGAAACTGGGGTTACCTATATGTGGTGTAATTTAAAACTTTTTGACATATTTACCACATTGGTCGATTTGAGATATAAAGACCCAGAAGCTAATGTAAATAAAGATTTTTTTTTTAATAAATTGTTTCCACTAAGTTAATTATGTTTAAATAATTTGATTTATTGCAGCAATAATTTTAAGTACGGTTTAAATTTACCTTAAACTAATAATAATGAATATAATGGTATATTATTAATGGGATTACCAAATAATTGATATTTTATTACACAAATAAAGACTATACCTGGCGGCAGGTGCATGTTAAAGAATGATTATTTTTACATTTATAATTCAATATAATTATTGTTAGGTATATGGACAGTGAAATAAAAGATATTATAATTTAACTTTTAAATATTTAATTGTCTTCAGTCTAAGACAACTCGGAAAGCAAGCGTAGAGGAGACTAAAACTAAAAGTGATACAAAATATTATTAGAGCACACACGCCCTATTTCATTCTTACATAAACATATGCAAGCACGTAACATTAACTGTGCTGATATTATAAACAGTAAATTTACGAGGTAAAGATAAAGAAGTTTTATTTAATAATATTTGGTTTAACTAATATATGTTTATATCAGCTTATTCAACACGCCACCTCAAATATTATTCAAATAAGTAAAATTAAAATAACATAAAACTAAAATTATGTTAACATAAAACTACAATACCATGTAACTAAATAACATACGTAAGTTATAACTTAAGAATATAAGTATCTAGACCTGCTTTCCTTATGTTTGTCTTTTCTGGGAAAATTACAATGATGGTCCAGCATTTGCTGTTTAAGATTAGGGAAAACCCAGAAAAACCTAATCAAACCATTTAACTTATTCAATACTTTCTAACCCTAATTCCTTTTTTAATTCTTCAAATCTCAGTGCCGGTAATGATTTTGTAGACATGTCAGCTACTTGCTTATCTGTGGACAAATGTTTTAATTTAATTACACCTTTCTCTACTTGTTCCCTAGAAAAATGATACTTTATATCAATATGTTTTGATCTTTTATGATTTGTTGGATTATTAGCAATACTTATGCAACCATTATTGTCTTCATATATAATGATTGGCTTAGATACATTTAAATTTATACTTATTGCTAATGACTTTAACCAAAGAGCCTCCCTGACAGCTTCAAATAGAGCCATATATTCGGCTTCAGTAGATGATGCCGCTACTGATAACTGTCTTTTTGTATTCCAACATATTACACATTTTTCAAATAATTTAAATAGGTAACCAGTTGTGCTTTTCCTATTTTTTACATCATCACCTCCCCAGTCAGAATCTACATAACCACTTAAGACATTGCTATAATCACATTTAACATATGTTAACCTTAAATTAATTGTACCCTTAAGATATCTAAGGACCCTTTTTAAGCATTGCCAAAGCTCTTTATTATTATTGTTTTGGTACCTGCTTAAAATATTAACAGCAGCACTTAAATCTGGCCTGGTACACAACATAATATACATCAAACAGCCGATAAGATTTCGGCAAGGGCAATCATATTTTACTTCAGAATTTAACTCATTAAAATTTAGTTTACTGGGAAGGGGAGTGCTGACAGCATTACAGTCAAACATATTAAATTTATTTAAAACAGTATTTATGTATGACGATTGATCTAAAGAAATTTTATCATTTATTCTTGTAATTTTAATACCTAAAAACAGTTTAATATCTTTTAAATCAACCATACAAAATTTATTTGCCAAATAACTTTTAAAACTACTCATTGTATCACTATTTGCAGTGGCAATCACAAGATCGTCTACATAAAGAACAACATAAATATTTTTACATATGGCACCTCTGTCTAAAATATAAATACAGCGGTCAACTGATGAATTCTGAAAACCTTTGTCTATAAGAACTTTTTCAAATATTTCAAACCAGCATCTGGCAGCTTGTTTTAGCCCATACAAAGCTTTATGCAATTTACAAACTTGGTTTGGTTTACTTGTGACCCCTTCAGGGACCTTCATATAAATTTCCTCCTTTAATGTCCCATTTAGAAAGGCTGTTTTAACATCCATATGATGTACTAAAAGATTAAATTGATTTGAAAAGGCAATTATAAACCTAAAAGATGTAATTCTTGCTACTGGGGCAAATGTTTCATCATAATCTACCAAGTATTCTTGACTAAAACCACGCGCTACTAAGCGAGCTTTATATCTTAACGGTTTTCCAAATTCATCATTTTTAATCGAAAACACCCATTTGCAGTCCACTATATTTTTATTTTCTGGTCTTGATACCAATGACCACGTTTTGTTTAACAAGAGGGAATTTATTTCGTCTTGTACAGCTTGTTCCCACTGAAATGTATCTTCTCTATTTTTAATTTCCTTATATGATAAAGGAATTTGACAAACAACTGATTGAGCACATATAAAATGATCATTTGTCGAATCAGTTTCTTTATAAGAAATAGGCAAAAGATTCTTGATTCTACCACTTCGTCTTAGTTGGGGTTCACACTGAATATTATTATTTGGCCTATCTGTTTTAATTACAGATTTATTACACTCATTATTATTAACCACTGATCTTGACAAACTGTCAGAGGAGTCAGTTTCTTTACCTACTGATCTTGACAAACAGTCAGAGGAGTCAGTTTCATTACCTACTGATCTTGACAAACAGTCAGAGGAGTCAGTTTTATTACCTACTGATCTTGACAAACAGTCAGAGGAGTCAGTTTCATTACCTACTGATCTTGACAAACAGTCAGAGGAGTCAGTTTCTGGCCTGGACGATAAAAAATTTGTCTCATCTACAATAACATCCCTTACTATAACAAACTTATTGTTATTCACATCCCACACTTTATACCCATTTGGTTCAAAACCAACTAGTATAGCTTTCCAGGATTTATTGTCAAATTTTGTTTTTCTAGTTTTATTATGTACATAAACAGTAGAACCAAAAACTTTTAAATATTTTACTTGCGGCTTTTTATTATGCCACATTTCATATGGTGTTTTTAATTCATTTAATGCTTTGGTAGGGGTTAAATTAATTAAAAATGTTGCAGTTAAAACTGCCTCACCCCAAAAACATTTTTCTAACTTGGCACCAAAAATCATTGAACGAGCTTTTTCAGTAATTGTCCTAACCATTCGTTCTGATACACCATTTAATTGTGGGGTTCGTGGAACTGTCAAATGATAACTTATACCTTTTTGCACACAAAAATCTTTCATTTCAGTAGCCAAATATTCCCCTCCATTGTCACAATATAAATTAACAATTTTTAAGTTAAAATGTGCCTCACTTTTAGCAACAAAATCTTTAAATACAGAAAATACATCTGACTTGTGTGTTATTAAATATGTAACACAATAGTGAGTATATTCATCAACAAAAAGAACAAAATAATTTTTATTATTAACTGTTGAAGGAGTGATAGGACCACATACGTCAGAATGAACTCTATACAAGGGTCGTTTAATATCCCTTTTATCTTTATGTTTTTGGAATGGCAGTCGTGCTTGTTTACCACTTATGCAAGCTTCACATAAATAGTCATTAGGTGTAACCTTATCGATTTCTCCTAAATCTTTTACCATAAGTTTATTTCTTAATTCTAAAAATTTAAATTTGCTTATATGCCCCAAACGTTCATGCCACAATTTATAATCTTTAGTTATATTTGTACTACTATGTGCTTGCACAATACTATTAATTACATCCCTATTAACAATAAATTCAGCAGCAATTAAAGTGGTTAAAAACTTACCCTTAATAACAGGCTTACTGTTTTGGTAAATAGTAGCACCTTTTTCATTAAAAATAATAGTCATACCAGCCTGCTGCATTTTTCTTACGGACAACAAATTGTAAGGGACCTCTGGACAATATAACACATCCTCAAGAATTCCCTGGATACCCATATTACTTGTAACCTTGATGGTGCCCTTTTTGGTTGCTGATATAAAAGTCCCACTTTTTGCCACTGAAATTTTCATTGGTGTTTGGAGCTCGACAAAACTGTTGAATATATCATCTCGGTTGACAATATGATCGGACGCTCCCGAGTCCAGGATAAAAGTAATATTATTTTCTTCCTCCATATTTTGAAAATCTCCAGTCATAAAAGCAAAACCAGATGTATTATCCTTCGATGTTGACGGCTTTTCTAATTGAATTGTTTGAATGGTTCTATTTCTTTCATTATTTTTAGATAGACTCTTTTTATAATAAAAACATTGTTTTTTTATGTGCCCATTTCTACCACAATGATGACACTTTATAGCCGAGGATAAATGATTTGTGGTGTCGGGTTTAAAGTGTCGCCCTTTTAAATGTCGTTGCTGGTAATTATTTTTGAATCTACGAGGGGCTTGAAAGTTTCGTTTCCTGGAGAATGATGCACTTGTAGAAGCAGTATCGACCTGAAGTATTTTTGCACTTGTATCACGATTTTCACTGGTGAGTTTTACCTCGTGATCTAAAAGTCTTGTTTTAACAAAAGTTAGGGTCAAATTATCCTCAGTTAATGTTTCGATAGCTGTAATCACTCCATCGTAAGTTTTAGGAAGGGTCAGCAATAAATGAGATATCTTGTCAGTCTCATCTAATTTGGCACCTGCGGCCAATAAGTCGGTAATTAGTTCATCAAAAATAGTAAAATGATTTAGTAATAGTGTATCTGCTTGTAATTTCAATCCCAATAATTTCTTTCGCAATGCCAACTGCGTAGCCAGACTTTTACGTTCATAGATACGGTCTAAACTACAGAAAATGTCTTTTGCAGTATTGTCACTTTTTGCAAAACTAAGAAAAGAATCTGTCAAATACTCCACGATAATATTTTTGGCGGTACGCTCTGCTGTTATCCATTCGTCAGTCACTTCCTCTGGGATATCTTCATCAATCACCTTTATGACATTAAGTTCTGTTAACAAACCACGTAATCTAAACTTCCATATACTATATTTTTCCCCATTAAAAGGCTTAATGTTTCTTTTTAGTTTAAAATTTTCCATTGTCACTATCAAAGCTCTCACTTTTGTCTATCACTTCACAAACTTCACAAATAACAATAGTTTATTAACTCAAAAATTCCTTTTCGCGATAATTTAAAATTACACGTATCCTGGGCCCATAACCTGTTAGGTATATGGACAGTGAAATAAAAGATATTATAATTTAACTTTTAAATATTTAATTGTCTTCAGTCTAAGACAACTCGGAAAGCAAGCGTAGAGGAGACTAAAACTAAAAGTGATACAAAATATTATTAGAGCACACACGCCCTATTTCATTCTTACATAAACATATGCAAGCACGTAACATTAACTGTGCTGATATTATAAACAGTAAATTTACGAGGTAAAGATAAAGAAGTTTTATTTAATAATATTTGGTTTAACTAATATATGTTTATATCAGCTTATTCAACAATTATCCCATGTTCTTATAACTACCTAGTTGAATGTGGTATTTTGTAGAGATGGGAAAATTCCTGGAAACTTTCCGTGGAAAATAAGTTTTATTGCGGAATTGAGTTTTTTGTGCCAGGATGAAAATAAAATCAACATTATTGAGTGAGCCTTCCAATTTATTCTGTTCGTTAAGAGACATGTTATCAACAGATTCTTCCAGAACTGGCATTGCTAGACTCTCTTCTTGACTTTCAGTAGGCTTAAAATTTTGCATAGATAATCTTATAATATAAGATATTATCTTGTGGGGCACTAAGACACTTTTATATGTTTGACCATTTTGGTTGCATCAACTATATATCTTTTTTTACAGAACTTGCATTAAGCATGGTCTTTTTTTGCACTATTTTTTAATAATTTCAAATATAAGAGTTTTCTCTTGGCATTGTACCTATAAATAAACAACAAAAACGTTAGATTGATTTTAACTTTGTTAATTGTTTTTATTTTGTTTACCTTTTAAAATGCTTTTATGCTAAGGGTTTTTTGCAAACTGTGATGATGAGATCTTCAACAATCTTCTTCTTTTTTAAATGAACACAAATTAACTTCTTCTTATTCAGTTTCTTGGCCTTAACTTCGCAAATCAGCTGTTAAACAATTTACATTTACATAAAAAACAGGGAAGTTTCCGGGAATGTTTCCGGTAACTTTAGAAGAAAGTTTTAAAACGAAAATTAATTCCAGACTGGAAACTTTCCGATTCTCATCTCTAGCAGACCAAATTTTACATTTTTTTAATGTGAAAGATAACAAAATTATAAAAATGCATTGTGTCAAAAGAAAAAAAAAGCCCCAAAACTGCTTTTTTTACTTGTGACACTTTTGAAGCGGGATTCGGTTACAATTTTCTTTAAATTTTTATTATTAGTAAGAACTTTTGCAAGCTGTAAAAAAATACCTATGTGGTTAGGGTAAAAAGTTACTATAAGTACCTAACAGAAAATTGGGTATACCTTGCTTTTACTTACAGTTTTTATTATCATTTCATCCTTTCTCTGCATGCATTCATCCATTGTGCTGCCAGAGTTTTATTTTTTGGAAATCGAAATTTTTTAATCTCTGCTACAGCACAGCCCGGCATATTTTAAATAGTTATTAAGTTCAACAAATAAAACACAAACCTAATAAATAACCACCCGTGCGTGGCTTATAATTACCTTGTAAATAGTTCAATAGTGTTCAATAAATGCAGTAAAAACTTTCCGAAAAACGTTGCAAAACCATCGTGCGTGGCTTATACTTAAAAAAACACAATAATTTCGGAAAAAACTCAAAATAAATCGTAGTAAAACACCCGTGTATAGAGCGTATGCCTATGCAAAACTGTTTGTAAAATTTGAATCTGGTTCACAAGTGACGTCACATGCGCAGAGTTGACGTGTTTTCATAATAACCAGCATACCGGTTTTTGCGTATCGTAATCTTTAGTATTTTGTTTTAGCTACCTTAAAACGTAATTATTAAGTACAGCCTCATTCAGAACCTCGTAATTAGTGGAAAAAATTAGTGGTTCCAAATTGGAACTTCCAATTATACTTATAATTAGTGAAGGGAGAATCGAATGATTTTTAGAATAGAATACTTTGTATTTGAATACCCTAAAGAATCGATAATAAAGTAAAAATGTATGCTCTTTATTTTTAATACAATAATACCTTTTGATTCAAAATTAAAATCCTTAAATGTTCACCAAAATTTTTTAATATTCTTTAGTTTTAATTTGGTTGCAACGTCGGTTATATGTTTTATTTTTGTGACATTTATAAAGTTTTAATAATAATTGTTAGATAATTATGTCTCCGTTATATTTACTAGATTTGAGTACATATTAAAATTAACACCAGCACCCTTGGTGCGATTCGTAAGTAAAGAACCATGTCAAACGTCTCATAAATTACTTTTGGATATAATATTCCTTTAAGAGGGCCACACTAAGGGGTTTAGTGCATCTTTTTGTAAGAACTGAATGTATTAGAGACTCTAATTTAAAGTTAGTTTTTAGTCAGATTCCTCTTTGAAGTATACATTTCTCTCGTCTCCCATATTCCACTCGATGACACGCAAGCGCTTTCGATTCGATTCAAAAGGTTCGAAGTATTCGAATACTTTGTTGAGAATCGAATGCATTCGAATGCACGTCAGAATCGAATACTTCGATTATTTGTATTCGAATAGCCCCTTCATTGAATATAACATTTTCTTATATTATGTTTTATTTTTTAAGTTACCGTTGGGCAGAAGCAGCGGACCGCGCGGCGAACTCGCGCCCCATCCACCAGAGCACCTCGCTGCCGCGCGAGACCCGCCGCAAAGAGCCTCTAGGGCAAGCTAACAGCACCGCCGCCCCCAGCCGCCTGTCGCCTCACGTATCGTCGCCGAAATCGCTGCTGATCGCTGCCGGCGGCGACCTCGTCGTCATACGCAACGAACCCGGCCCGCTGGGTATTCACGTGGTGCCCGACTACGACCGCTCGGGCAAAGACAGGGGACTGATGGTGCAGGGGATCGAGCCTGGAGGTAGGATCGACAGGGATGGCAGGTTGGCCATCTACGATAGGATTGTGGAGATCAATGGGACCTGTTTGATTAATATGCCCTTTCAAAGGTAAGAAACACATTACGTCTGAATATTTTTGGTAGATTTTTTATTTAGGCAGATTTAAAGATTTTAAATTTGATTTGATTTTAGATTTGAAATTTTTTTTAAATCTTTCTTTCTTCTTCTTCTTTCTTTCTAATTTCGGTATTTTCAACCTTGGTGCTTGGAATCTAGTCCATGTGACCATATGCTTGTTTTAACGTCTCACGGCTTCAGAAAGAACTACCTCCGCCGTTTGACAATGTGGAAATTTCAATCTTGAAACATCCATTCAATCATTTATACAATTCACAATTTTTAAAGTTTTTTAAAATCTTGAATTTTTTTTTAAATTTTTTCAATTTTGAAAATTTTAAAAACCTTGAAAATTGGTCCTCTTGTTTTTATTTTTATACTACTTACTGTGCAAATTTTTCAAATTTTGAACTATTGTGCCAAACCATTTTTGTATTTATCCCACTGTGCAAATTTGTCCCAACATTTTTAAATTTTACACTTGTTGAATTGTATACTTTTAAAATTTATCCCACACTGCGAATTTATCCTACCTTTTTTTAAATTCACTCTAATATGCGTATAACAGTTGTGTGAGTGTGCAGGTATCTGTAATTGCAACAAGTTTAATAAACGGCATTCTAAACCCCGAGTTTTAAGTAGGCACGAGCGAAGCGAGTGTTTTATAAACAAGTGTCTAGAGAAGTTTATAAAACGAATTGCATACTATACTTTTCTACAACCAACACAAAAATACTAAAATTATACCAATAAATCAGCATAAAATCTGACATCTGTCGGACGGTTTTAACTTCACTTTCTTCCAATTTCAAACCCCATTGTTACCGTAACTAAAACGCAGTCACAGCTTGTCAATAGTGAGTACAACCACACTTATTCCCAATTTAAAGCCCGATTGGTTGAAATGACACTAAATATTAAAATCGGTCAATCACTGAAACCTAACAGCGTAAATAATGAGTTTATCTACTCCTATGGCATAATTTTGGATTTTTTCCGTGAATATTGATAAACATTATAAATTCCCTGCCTAACAACGTAAATAATAAACTCATTATTCGCGTTGTTAGGCATTAGTGATTGACCGATTTCAATATTCACTGTGATTTGAACCAATCGAGTTTTAAATTGGAAAAAAAATTAAAATTGGTAAAAAGTAAGGTTAACCATTTGACAGATGTCAGATTTAGTTTATTTAATTTTTAAGGGTGACGTTCACAATATCGAAATTCATTATATCGAATTCAAAATATCGAACACTTTTAATCGAAAATCAAAATATCGAAAATACAAAATGTCGAAAATCAAAATATCGAAAATTAAAATGTCGAAAATGATAATATCGAAAATTAAAATGTCGATTTGAAAATGTCGAATAATTAAAATTTCGAAAATTAAAATGTCGAAAATGATAATATCGAAAATTAAAATGTCGATTTGAAAATGTCGAAAATGATAATATCGAAAATTAAAATGTCGATTTGAAAATGTCGAATAATTAAAATTTCGAAAATTAAAATATCGATTTAAAAATATCGAAAATTAAAATGTATGATTAAAATCGAAGTGTATATGTACAGAGGCGCCTCTGTAGATAAAGTTACGGTTATGCACCGAATTATCTTGGCTCCCTGGCTCCTAGAGATGCGCGTTTTATAGAAATGTACTCAAACTCAACAACACAACCCAACCGACCCCGCCCCATTGGCCCCCCCCCGCCCCATATTGAGCAAAAAACCCAACTAAAATGGGCAAATTCATGTTACGATAAAAATAAAACACTTTTTAATTACATAAATTAGCCCATTTTAGTTGGGTTTTTTGCTCAATGAGGCGGGGGGGGGGGGCCAATGGGGCGGGGTCGGTTGGGTTGTGTTGTTGAGTTTGAGTACATTTCTATATCAGAGGCGCCTCTATACATATACACTTCGGATTAAAATAATATGTCGATTAATTGAAATATTTAAACAAAATATCAAATTCAAAATAAGAAAATATGGTTTAGTTTCACATTAAAATTCGATTAAATAAAATTTCGATATTATCATTTTCGACATTTTAATTTTCGACATTTTGTATTTTCGATATTTTGATTTTCGATAAAAAGTGTTCGATATTTTGAATTCGATAAAGTGAATTTCGATATTATGAACGTCGATATTTTATTTTCGATAAATTGAAAATTCGATTAAATAAAATTTCGATATTATCATTTTCGACATTTTAATTTTCGATATTTTGATTTTCGACATTTTGTATTTTCGATATTTTGATTTTCGATAAAAAGTGTTCGATATTTTGAATTCGATAAAGTGAATTTCGATATTATGAACGTCACCCAATTTTTAATAGTATGTTATGTATAAAGTTTTATAAACGGCATTTTAGTTTCGAGTTTTATTAGACACGATCAAAGCTTGCGAGCGAGTGTTTAATAAAAACGAGTGACTAGAGAAGTTTATAAAACGAGTTCCATACTATACTTTGTGTACGACGAACTGATATAAGAATTTAAAGCCAATTTTATTTGTTAAACATTTGACATCTGCCAATTGTCAAGGGATTTAACCTCACTTTTTCCCAATTTATAATAAAGCTAACTTCATCCCATGACTAAAATTACCAAAAGACACTGTTGCTAACTACAGCCCGTGATTAAAACAGCTTATTAATGGGGGAGTAGATAAAATCATTTAATTATCTACTTATTGGAGTAGATAAAGTATAGTATTACACTCAAGATTATTCATTTGTATGATTTGAGTCTCGAGACGCAAACCTCATCGTCGTGAATAATAGTCTGCATTATCTATAATGGTTACCATTATACATATACCTACGTAAAAACACAAATATTTTCTATATTTATACAATAGAGTGGGTCAAATATCCTCTATTTTCGAAATTAAAACCAAAAATATTAATCTTTAAATTAAAAAATTAATTTCGAAAAACGCTCTTTTATACAATAGGATTAGAATTTCTTTTTTAAATTAGTTAATTATGTTTTTTTTCATAATTTTTTAGGGTTCAAGAGATGTTTAAACTTTCACTTATTTCTCCAGAATTAAGATTGAAAGTGATCAAGGCATCTGGCTTGGAAAGTCTAAGAAAACCTCCTGCACCAGTTTATCCTGCATACCCTGAGGATAAAGAAAACGTTCTGGTGGAATGCGAACAAAAACGTAAGTCAACAAAACACTTTTACAACCAAAGAGTTCTAGGACTAGCAAATGGAAAATATGCAAGAAATGGGTTTTTTATTAATAAGTAAATATTAAATTTAAATGACAAAAAGAGTTTTATCCTAGAATCCTGAAAATACAGAACAATATTTTCTAAGGTCATTTTTTAACTAGGTCTTGTTGCAGAGAGTACAAACACGAAAGTGGCTACCGTGTCACCCACAAAGAAAGTCCCGGCAATATCCAAAAACCTCAAGTCAGGTCTTCTAACAGCAAACACCCGTAAAATAGGTCGCAAAATCGAAATCGAACTTACAAAAGGACCTCACGGCTTAGGCTTCAGCATCACAACCAGAGACAACCCAGCGGGCGGAAACTGCCCGATTTACATCAAAAACATCATCCCCAAAGGGGCGGCAGTGGAGGACGGGAGGTTGAAAATTGGAGACAGGCTGTTGGAGGTTAATGCTGTGGAGATGACTGGTAAAAGTCAGTCGGAGGCTGTGGCTGTCCTGAGGAATGCTCCTCCAGGCAGCAAGGTTAGAATTGTGGTGTCCAGGCAGGAAGATGTCCCGGATACATTGCCAAGAGTTATGGTAAGTGTATTTTTGTTTTGTGGGGTGTAATTTAGTTGGTTTATTTATATGTAGCAATAACGATAAAGAATGTACAAAATATTAAAATTTATCAAAATTTGTCAATTGGTAGGACACAAATTTACAAAAAAAAAATTAAAAATACTAAATATTTTTAATTTTTATTATAATCAAAAAGTGCGTTAGGTACTTTGGTCCACATCCAAAAGCCACACTTTGAAATGTGAATGCGGAACTCAGCTTTATGATGACAAGAAATCAATGAGATAAATTATAATAATGTAATAATTTTTTTGGGCGGATTTTTTTAACATTTTGTAGGGTTACTTTTAACATTAAAATAATGACTCACTGAAGATTTGACCTCTTAATATTAAGTACTTTCATAGTAATAATTTTTCGAATTTTGAGCTGAAATTTTTTTACATAAAATATGTAATTTTCAGGATGGGGTTCTTTTTTGTTTATATACTTACAAATAAATAGTAAAAATAGCAAATAATTCAGATTATGCACCTGTCAAATTAACGAGAATTTTGTTTTGTTTTATTTTCTGAAAATAGTATACCTAATATACCTAATTTTTTACAAACTTCTTAGTTTATGTCACAAAAACATACATATATTATGTTCAGAAAATATAAAAAAATTGGCGTTGATTTGACACTTGCATAATTCAATTATTAAAAAAAATGACTTACAAAAAAATATATATATACATGCCCTGTCCCATATTAGTTGGCCCAGTAAGTTTTTCGTTGGAGTTGATTGTTTTGCGTCAACATGATATGATATTTGTACACTGAGATACATTTTTTTCTTAATCTTAGAAAAGATTTTTAAATTGTTACTCATAATTTAAAAAAAATTATACTTAATTTTTAATTTTTTTTATTATGACAAATTTTTATATAAAAATTTGTTACTATGGCAAGTGTATTGACTCTTGAGTTATATTGCTAAATCTGTTTTGTACAGTATAAGATTGTATAAATTATTCTATGCTCATTTCTACTAGCAACAGCAAAAATAATTTATTGTGTTGAAGAAAATTGTAAACTAACTGACTCTAAGTAATAAATAATGTTATAGTTAAATTCTGTATTATAAATTACGTTTTCATTAGAAAATACATTTACAATTTTTTCTTGTGGCTGGGCCTACTAATATGGGACGGGGCTCGTATATACAGGGTGTTTCTTTTAACTTGAGACAGCTCAATATCTCGAGAAATACGCATTTCACGGAAAAATGTCTTAAATAAAAGGTTAATGTGACTAAAAGGGACATTATTGGGTGCTACCGCTAGCCACCCCCTACCCCTCCTTAAGGGTGAAACGGGGGGTAACTTTGGAAAGTCAAATGGAATGACCCGATTTTTTTCACAGAGTTTGATAGTACATAAAAAAATAAATAACTTTTATTTAAAACTTTTTTCATTTTATCAACAGATGGCGCTGTAATTCAAAATTTAAGAAAAATGAGTTTCCTTGTAAAATGTATTATTTGAAACGTTTGAAAAACAAAAATTAACATTAACAACAATATTCGGCTATGAAAACAATTTATAACAAATGTTCGAAATGTCGTCATTCCATTTCAACACATTTTTGAATGCGGGTAATGAATTCTGGCACACAAGTTGTGTGACACAACGCGCCAACATGTCGGGCGGTATCGCCGCACAGGCGTTCCTGATCCGCTCCACCATGTCCTCCCAAGTTGTAGAAATTGCAGCGTAAACTTTTTCTTTCAAGTAACCCCACTGGAAGAAGTCTGGTGGCGTAAGATCAGGTGATCGAGCAGGCCAAATTACTGGACCACGTCTACCGATCCACCGCGGTGCACCGGCCATTGAACTCCTGATCCAACACCTCTCGAGCAATTGTCGAATAATGTGCAGGACAACCATCTTGCTGGTACCACATGTTTTGGAGCCGTGCTAGTGGTACATCCTCCAAAAGGTCCATCAGATCGTTTTCTAGAAAATTCCGGTACTTTTCGCCATTTAATGCACCGTCAATAAAGAAGGGTCCGATTAATCGTTCGCTTAAGGTACCGCACCAAACGTTTACCGACCAGGGGCGCTGGTGCTCCACTTGGTGTCGAAATGGAAGGACGACATTTCGAACATTTGTTATAAATTGTTTTCAGAGCCGACTATTGTTGATTTAATGTTAATTTTTGTTTTTCAAACGTTTCAAATAATACATTTTACAAGGAAACCCCTTTTTCTTAAATTTTGAATTACAGCGCCATCTGTTGATAAATTGAAAAAAACTTTCAAATAAAAGTTATTCATTTTTTTATGTACTACCAAACTCCGTGAAAAAAATCAGGTCATTCCATTTGACTTTCCAAAGTTACCCCCAGTTTCACCCTTAAGGAGGGGTAGGGGGTGGCTAGCGGTAGCACCAAATAATGTCCCCTTTGGTCACATTAACCTTTTATTTAAGACATTTTCCCGTGAAATGCGTATTTCTCGAGATATTGAGCTGTCTCAACTTAAAAGAAACACCCTGTACATATATTTTTTAAAAATAAAATAAATTGGAAAAATACATGATTTCATTTAAGAAAGTAAAAGAAAAATATTTTTATTAATTTTCAACAAAAAAAATATTTAAAAACTTTAATATAGGTATATTAAAGTTTTTAAATATATTTGCAATAAAAAATATTTTATATTTAATAAAAATAAATAAATAAACAAATATATAATATAATGATACAAACGGCGCCTCATATACAATATTTGCTTTTTTATTTACAATAATTGTAAATAACAATAAATTACAATAATTATTATGCTTTGTTATTTAATTGTATTTAAACAAAAAATAACCCAATTGTGAAAGTGACGTATTTTGTGTGAAAAATTCTTAGCTTTCAGAAAAAAATATAGAATTCCAAATAAAATTGAATTTTTTCTGTTACTTAATAATAAGTAATGAATATTAAAAAAGAAACAGTAGTATCCGCTTGTATTTTTATTAAACATTATTTGCATACAAAAATATCAAATAAGTTTAAAAAAATATCGTCAAAATTCGAAAAATCATTACTACAAAAGTACTTAATATTAGGGCTCAAATCTTTAATGAGTCATTGTTTTGATGTAAATAATAACTGCTAAAATGCATATGGCACCCCGAAAACCGCTATTTTTGGAAAATTAGACTATATTGGCGTTAAACTGACAGATGCAAAACCTAAATTATGGAGCTGCGTTTCTTAATTAAAGGTCAAAGTGGGCCTTTTGGGTGTGGAGCATAGTACCTACATCATACTTTATTATTATAGTTTTAAACTCTTCCGCAAGATATGTCTTAAATAATATTATGTCCGATTTAAAATGCAATTAAAAGGAAACCTAAAATATTACATTTTATTTGTTGTGCATTCTTTATCATAGCAAGAAAACTGTATTTGTACATTTGCACCATCACTCACCATATTTGTGTTACGATTTAACTGCAATGTGTTGTATTGTCTTGCTTAGGATTCTAATCATAAAGAAAAAGAGGAACGCGTCCCAGAACCAGCGGCAACATTCGGCAACCCGAATAATAATAATATAAACAACGTAAACAACGGTGACGTGCCGCCCAACATTCCCCCGCTGCCGCAGAGCCATCTACAGGCGCTGCAACAAAATAAGGGCGGCAATCCTTTGGAAAAAAGCAACTCCGTCGCGAAAATGATCAGCCATTTTCAGGATGCCGCGAACATATCGATCAATAGCGTAATAATTAGTTTTTTATATAGAATTAACTGTCGTTTAGTACTTTCTTTAACACTTTCTTGAATCTTTTTTGCATGCTTGTAGCTTTTTAATCATATTTACTATTACTACAGTCCCTTGCCAATTTATTAGACCCGTTCACATTTTTTTTAGTTTTAGGATTATGTAAAATAGTTTATATCTTCTGATAAGAATGCATTTTTTAATACAAAAGTGATTTAATGAATAAAACACGTTAAAAGCTCTTTTTAGGGTATTTTTTAAATCATAAAAATGACTAAAATACTCGAATTATGTTTAGGGTTTTAAACGTCGGAAATTCACTTTTTTCTACGGATATTATTCGTAAAAATTTGGAAATTTTCAAAAAAATTTACTTATGCATTTTTCTTTGTAAATACAATATTTGTAATATTACCATAAATAAAATGTAAAAATGCAAGTCAATTTTTCCAAAAATTTACTAATTTTTTCGTTGTTATCCAGAAGAAGCTTTTTTTCCGCCGGCTTAATTTTTCCGGAAATTTTTAAATCCTAATTAGGTTATAAAATTAATATTTTTCGGAAAAAACTTTTATTACAAAATGTTTTGTGCAAGAACCCGTTTTTGTGAAAAGTAATAATTATATAACATATATATGTGAGTATTTTAGTAATTTTGTACCATTATTTTTTTAAATTTTAAATTTCATTGTAAAAGTCCTAAAAAGCGTTTTCAACGCATTTCAATTAAGACCAGATATTCTACAAATATCTATTTTAGACCCGTTCACATTTTTTTTTAGTTTTGTGAATATGCAAAATAGTTTATATCTTCTGATAAAAATGCATATTCAAATACAAACGTGATTTTATAAATAAAACACGTTAAAAACTCTTTTTAGGATATTTTTAAGATGAAATTTAAATTTAAAAAATGATGTTTAGGGTTTTAAAGGGTAAAAAAGGGTCGGAAATTCACTTTTTTCTCGATATCAGTGTACGGATATAATCCGTAAAAATTTGTAAATTTTCAGAATATATACAGGGTGTTTCTTTTAACTTGAGACAGCTCAATATTTTGAGAAATACGCATTTCAAGGAAAAATGTTTTAAATAAAAGGTTAATTTGACCAAAGGGGACATTATTTGGTGCTACCGCTAGCCACCCCCCTACCCCTCCATAGGGGTGACACAGGGGGTAACTTTGGAAAGTCAAATAGGATGACCCAATTTTTTTCACATATTTTGGTATTACATAAAAAAACTTTTATTTGAAACTTTTTTTCAATTTATCAACAGATGGCGTACATTTTACAAGGAAACCCATTTTTCTTAAATTTTGAATTACAGCGCCATCTGTTGATAAATTGAAAAAAAGTTTCAATTCAATTCATTTTTGTATGCACTACCAAAATCTATAAAAAAAATCGGGTCATCTCATTTGACTTTCCAAAGTTACCCCCCGTTTCACCCTTAAGGAGGGGTTGGGGGTGGCTAGCGGTAGCACCAAGTCAATTTGTCTGAAAATGTCCCAATTTATCCGGAATTTTTTTAAAATTATGTTATAAAATTAATGTTTTTCAGAAATTACTTTTATTACAAAATGTTTAGTGCAAAAAGACGTTTTTCTGAAAAGTAATAATTTTATAACATAATAGTATTTTAGTAATTTTTTACCTTTACTTTTTTATTTTTTAAATTTCATTGTTAATGAGTCCTAAAAAGCGTTTTCAACTTAATTCTATTCATTAAACTACTTTTGTAGCACATAAAAGGATTTTAGAAGCAATTTAGACTAGATATTTTAATAAATTGGCCAGGATCTGTATTTTTTTGTAAAAACCCTGATGATGCCTTATAGGCGTAAAAGGAATTTACAATTAAACACATATTTATTTATGTTTTGGACGTTTGAAAACAGTACTGCAATTTCTTCTTTCTTCAGGTATCGGATAAAACCGACGACAGCATGGTGTTCCCGTGGAAGCACCGCGAAATCCTAACCTTGAACATCCCGGTGCACGACTCTGAGAAAGCCGGTCTGGGCATCAGCGTGAAGGGCAAAACCAGCGGCACCCAGGACCTGGGCATCTTCATCAAGAGCGTGATCAACGGCGGCGCCGCCTCCAGAGACAAGAGACTGAGAACCAACGATCAACTGTTGAACGTCAACGGGATCTCGTTGCTGCAACAATCGAACAGCGACGCCATGGAAACGTTGCGTAAGGCGATGTTGCACACCGAGGGTCCCGTGCCCGGCAACATCACTCTGACGATTGCCAGAAGGGCGGCGTCTCCCGGTGCCAACAGAAGCTTCAATAGGTAAGTTTTAAGTCACTATTTTTTAATCGATATAACAAAACTCTAATTTTTTCGCGAGTTGAGAGTAGGGTTTTAAAGTTTCGGAAAAAAACGAAAAATATAGGGAAAAACGGTTTTTTTTCGTTTTTTCCAGGCCTTGGAAAAATTGTTTTTTTTTGGGATTTTTTTTTTAATTATACACAATTTACAAAAGTAGCAAACATCTTAACATTATTTTAATTTAATAAAAATATCCTTTATTACAAAAAAAAATTAACTTGAATTGAATTGAATTAAATTGATTTAAGGAAATAAAAGTAAACGTCAAAATTTAATATAATTTTATTTAGTGTACTGTGGGTTGGGTCTTTTTCGCAAAAATAAGTCCATTGAAAATATCCCATTACAATTAAAGTTAAAATTAAAAATTAAAATTTTAAAAGTTTCAGTTAAAATTTTTTAACTGAAGTGTCAAATAAAACGAATTGGGAAATTTTCAGAAAAAATATTTTTTGCATTACCTTTTGAATAAAATGAAAAATATTTAAGTCAATTTTTTTGAAAATTTTCCAAATTAACTGGTTTTTTTTCGCCGCACAGCGCTGCAGCGGTCGGAAACACACAAAAAGCTGGCCAAAATCAAATAGAGAGAGAGTAAAAACTTCATCCAAGCCCCGTTTTAAAAAAAAATATTATTTTCTCGTTTTTACTTCATTATTTCAAAGTAAAAACGAGAAAAAAATATTTTTTTTACAAACGGGACTTGGATGAAGTTATTGAAATTTTTCACCGTTTTACATATCACCCTGTAGGAAATTTACTTGAAGGACAGTGTGCTTCATATCTATAGCATAAATTGGGAGACGATAAAGCTAGCAGACATCACAGACCAAAATAAAATCGTTCAAGAAACAAAAAAGTTATGTCGTTTTGAAAAAGGACGAACTTTTTGGTCGCGACACATTGAATGGTGCGCAGTTTAGATTACTTTAAGGTCAATTTTATAATACATCATGCATGTATCGACGAAGAAATCGCGCACTTTAAACAAAATCTACAGCACTTTTAACAGAGCGTAAAATTTGACGTTTCGAAACGTCTCGCTCAGGTATGGCGGGTAGGCTCTCTTATTCGCTTTGTCATAGCCCAAATGGGTATTTGGCGCAGAAATAGGTTCTTTATAGAATACCGTATTTTGTTTTACGAAAAAAAACACATTGATTTTTCAATTTTGGCCAGCTTTTCCTTTTTCCGACCACTGTGCGCCGGCCCAATTTTATGTAAATTTCAAAACCCTAGTGAGAGTAAAATTTCGGCAGGCAACGGAAGTGACGACACAAAATCGTAATACTTTTATAAATTTTCTTTTTTTAGATCTGATGAAAGTCTTCTAAACAAATCGAGCAGCTCGCAACCAGAAATCTACAGCAAACCGAACGACGGATACAAATCTTCCGACATGTACAAATCAGCGGAATCATCGGAATCCACCACGAACGATAATTCCGGGGCGAGTGGCGGCTCAACGAACACTGTAATTTTTAATCCGCACCCGAACGGCGTCGATAACAAACAAATGACGAGTCCTCCGTTGAGTCCGATGCATACGTGGAATCCTGTTTTGGAGAGGTTAACGGGAAATAGCTGCAAACAGCCGCAGCTGAGGAACGAGAGTTACTATAAGGTAAGTCATACTTAAATATGGTTTTGATATTCTAAAATGTGTTTTTAAGATTATTATATATTATTTGACGTTCTTTAGATCCATGTGATATACTTAAACATGTTTTTGACATTCTTAAACATGTTATTAACCTTCTTAATGTTCCAAAATGTATTTGACATTTTTAAATAGGTTTTGTCATTCCTAGAAATGTTTTTGACATTCTTAGATATTTGTCTGACATTTTTCATACTTTTACACATGTTTTTGACATTTCTATATAATTTTGACATTCTAAGATGTATTTGACATCCTTAAACATGTTTTTGACTCTCTTACATATATTTTTGACATTCCTAGATGTGTTATGAGCAATCTTTAACTTGTTTTACTTTTTTAATGATTTTTATATTTTTATAATTGATATTATTAAATATGTTTTTGACATTTTGACATTCTTACCTATAATAAAATTTTAAAATGTATTTGACATTTTTTAACATGTTTTTTTTATTCTCAGAAATGTTTCTTACATTCTCAGATGTGTTTTTAACATTTTTAACAAATTTTACTTTTGTTTATGTTTTTGATAATATTAGATATGGTCATGATATTCTTAGATATTTGCCTGATATTTTTGACATTCTTAAATGTATTTGACATTTTTAAACATGTTTTGTCGTTCCTAGAAATGTTTTTGACATTCTTAGATGTGGTTTTGCATTATAAAAAGTGTTGTTAGCATTCTTTAGCTTATTTTACAATTTTAATGTTTATGATTATATTAAATATGTTAATGACATTCTTAGATATTTGTCTAACATTTTTGGTATTATTAAACATGTTTTTGATATTTCTTAATGATTTTGAAATTCTAAGAAGTATTTGACATCCTTAAACATGTTTTTGACGTTCGTATACGAATACATATATATATATATATATACATATATTTTAATATTCTAAAAATGTATTTGACATTTAAAAAAATATTTTGTCATAACTAGAAATGTTTTTGACATTTTTAGATGTGTTTTTTCATTATAAAAAGTGTTTTTAGCACTCTTTAATTTTGTTAATGTTTTTGATAATATAACATATGTTTGGATATTTCTATGACATTTTTAATAATAATAAACATGATTTTGACATTCTTAAATGTATTTGACATTCTTAAACATTCTTACATATGTTTTTTATATTATAAAATGTATTTGACATTTTTAGACATGTTTTGTCATTCCTAGAAATGTATTTGACATTCTTAGATGTTTGCATTCTAAAATGTGTTTTTATCATTCTTTAACTTGTTTTACTTTTTGTAAAGTTTTTGATAATATTAGATATGCTCATGGTATTCTTAGATATTTGACCGACTTTTTTACTTAAAAATATGTTTTTGACAATTCTATGATTTTGACATTATAAAATGTATTTAACATTTTTAAACATGTTCTGTCATTCCTAGAAATGTTTTTGACATTCTTAGATGTGGTTTTGCATTCTAAAATGTGTTTTATCATTCTTTTCCTTGTTTTACTTTTTTATTGTTTTTAATAATATTAAATATGTTTATGACATTCTTAGATATTTGTCTCACATTTTTGACATTATTAAACATGTTTTTGACTTTTCCATATGATTTTAACATTCTAAAATGTTTTTGATATTTTTAGATTTGCATTTTAAAATGTTTTTACCATTCTTAAACGTGTTTTACTTTCTTAAGGTTTTTGATAATATTAGATGTGGTTATGATATTCTTAGATATTTGTCTGACATGTTTGATTTTATAAACATGTTTTTGACATTTCTATGATTTTGACATACTTATATGTACATGTTTATACATGTTTTAACATTCTCAGATATGTTTTTGCATTGCAAAATGTGTGTAACATTCTTTCAAATGTCTTTGACATTATTAAACATGTTTTCGACATTCTATAATGTATTTTTCAATTTAAAAATGTTTTTGATAACATTGTTTATGACATTCCTAGATGTGTTTCTGACATTTATAGATATATTTTTGACATTATTAAACATATTTTTACAGTGTCGATTTCAAACTCTACAAACCTTTAAATGTTAAAGTTTATTATTTGTTTTAATGATTATTATTTTTAGGCTGCACATGATAGTTGGAGTAGCAGTATGATGGGCAATAATTCCTATGGGAATATGACCAGTACCACTGTAAACATGACACCTGCAGAGCCAATTTTGATTGAAGATGAATACGGTTCACGCGTGATTGACCATCAAAACGCAAGGTATGTTCATTTCCAACAATTTTGCAGGATTTAGATTGTAAAAAACCTTTGAAATAATATGCAATTTATTTTTGTAGGATCAACGTTATGATGACGAACAAAATGTACCTATCGAACGGCAGTCTGCCGGAAAACCGCAGCGATCACGAACCGGACGGTAAAGCTTCACTTTCGGGCGGCAACGGCGATAAAAGCGTCGAAACGTCGCAAAACTCCGCCGTTCCGCCCACCGACGCCACCTACGCCAGCCAACTGTCGCTCGAAAATCCAAAGGGGTTCTCCAGGGACGCCTTTGGCAGGCAAAGCATGTCGGAGAAACGACACGCGACCCTGGACGCGAAAAGTACCGACACCTATCAGAGGACCAAGAAGATGAGAGAAGAGAGGATCAAGAGCAAAGAGAGTAAGTTTTTATGGGTTATTCATTTCTTTTTTGTTTAACACGTTGCTATGGCTTGATGTAATAACAATATTTTTGAAGTGAAACTTCTTTGTGGACGGGGAAAACAAAATTTTTTGAATAAAATTTGCACAGTAACATAAATTTAAAACATGGTAGGATAAATTCGTTTACAATAAAAAAATGGGAAAAAAACAGTACAATAAATATAAAAAATTGTACGATTCTAAAAATAAGAATTTACAGACCCTGGCCAATTTGTAAAATATCTAGTCTAAATTGCTTCTCACTAAAATGCTTTTTTGTTCTACAAAAGTGGTTTCATGAATAGAATTGCGTTGCGTTACAATGAAATTTAAAATTAAAAAAGTAATAGTACCTATAAAATTACTAAAATACCTACTTATGTTATAAAAACGGCTTGCACTAAACATTTTGTAATAAAAGTATTTTCTGAAAAATATTAATTTTTATAACATAATTAGGGTTTTAAAAGTTCCGGAAAAATTGAGCCGGCGGAAAAATCGTTTTTTTTTCTGAATAAAAACGAAAAAATTGGAAAATTTTCGGAAAAATTGACTTTTGCATTATTTTATTTTATTTATTAATAATAAATTATTATAATACGAATAAAAATGCATAAGTAATTTTTTCTGAAAGTTTCCAAATTTTTTGGGTAATATCCGTATACTGATATAAAGTTTCCGACGCTTTTTTTCGACACTTTAAACCCCTTTTAAAGTTTCAATACAATTTGAGTATTTTAGTCACTTTTAACCATCATTTTTTTAATTTCAATTTTATCCTAAACATGTCCTAAAAAGAGTTTTTAACGTGTTTTATTCATAAAATCACTTTTGTATTTAAAAATGCATTTATATTAGAAGATAATGACTATTTTACAAATTTCCAAAATTGCTTCTCACTAAACAACGGGCGTAATAGGCGTACAAATTGGATGTAATCTATTACACTTTATTGTAATACCAAGTAAATTACTTGGTATTACATAATATTACTTGAAGTAATATTATGTAATTGCACGTAATATCACGTAATAGCAGGTAATATCACGTAATATCACGTGATAGTTAAGTAATACAACGAAATACTACGTAATACCACGTAATACTTTGAGTAATACGTAATACATAATATGCACATTTTGCGCGTAACGGTGCGCGTCATCTATATTTGAATACCGCTGTATACCGGTAAATTTAAAAGCTTTGGTTTCGAAAGATGCTTGCGAAGACCTTATGTCATTTATAAAAGAGTCCCTTTATACAATTATTGAAGGGGAAAAATTGTCCCCAGAACAATTGCAAGATTATTTTGGAATATATGGAAAAAGTTATAATTTAATAAAACAATTTAAAATTTCACCTGGTCATTGGCCACTTATTTTTAATTTAGCTGAGTTTTGCACTAAAACATATGAAGATATGGAGCCAAATATTTTTGCAAAAAAATAAAGGTGCAATTTTACCTACTAATTGTAAAACAAGTGAATTTGATAATAGAAAAGAAATAATAATTAATTTAATTAACACATATAGGTAAGCTTTGGTAGTATAGTGTGAGAGGTGATATTTAATTAACAACATTTCAGACTAAACAATAAAAATGAAAATGTTGTTAGTTACATGGAAACTTGGAATATTTCAGAAGAATTAATCGAAATTAACAATGAAGAAACTAAAGTATTATGTCTAAAATTATTACTTTTCACAAAAACGGCTTTTTGTAATAAAAGTCTTTTCTGAAAAATATTAATTTTGTAACATAATAAGAGTTTTAAAATTTCCGAAAAAATTGAGCGGGCGGAAAAAAACCGTTTTTTCTGAATAAAAACGGAAAAAATTGGGAAATTTTTCAGAAAATTTTCAAGTTTTTGCGGATAACATCCGTACACTGATTTCGAGAAAAAAAGTGACGCTTTTTTTCGACACTTTAAAACCCTAAACATAACTTGAGTATTTTAGTCATTAATAACCATTAATTTTTTAATTTAAATTTTATTTAAAAAAATGTCCTAAAAATAGTTTTGTTGTGTTTTATTCATAAAATCACTTTTGCATTCAAAAATACATTTTTATCATAAGATAGTGACTATTTAACAAATTCTCAAAATTAAAGAAAATTTGTGAATGGGTCTAATAAATTGGCCAGGGACTGTAATTAAATTTCATTAGGTTTTGGTAATCCATTTTTAGCAAGGTTTATGGAGTGTTTAATTTTTAAAAATAATGTATACTTCCTTGCTTGTTTATGCTTGTAATTAAATTGTTCAAAAGTAGTTTCACTTCAGCAGCGAGGTCTAAGTTTAAAAGATTGTTAGTATATTAACATTAAATGTGTAAATAACATTATGGCTTGCATCTGTACATTGTGCTAATATTATTGTTTTTTTTCGTTCCATTTTTAACAGCTAATTTAGTACGAGTCGGTTCTGTGGAATCTGTCATTAGTGTAAATCGTTCATCTGACCACCCTGAATGTAAGCATCCATCCTTTTATTTGAATCACACGTTTTCAAAACCGGAATACATCACATTTAACACTGGTTTATAAATTAATTAAATGTATTATTTTTTTATTACAAGGTTTTTGAGATATCATTTTTTATTTTTTTTAAAGGTAGCTTTACAATAGTAATCCAATCGCAACAAATATCATTAATCTTAAATCGGGTAGTGTAAGTGAAATGGCCTTTTTTGAACAAAAATAAGAATGCGTAATTTTTTTTGTTTAAGAATGAATAAAAATCATTGAAATACCATATTCTACATAGAGTTTGAACTTTTATGAAGAAAGTAAGGTATTAACAATAAATGACAAAGTTATAACAAAAAGTTGAAATTTCCTACTTGTACATTAACAGTCAAAATTTACTTATCCATACATTTTTTTCGTTAAAATCTTCCAAAAAATTATATTTTTTTCGAAAAAGTGTGACTACTTGAAGATAATTTAAAATCGGTCATATTTTAATAAGTTAAATGTTGCATTCTTATTTTTGTTTAAAAAAACCGCTTTTTTTAATAGTCCATTGCACTTAAACTTCTACAAGAGTAATATTGGTCGGTGATTCGATTATATTTAGTTTAACATCTTTTGCAACCAGTTGGCTAACTCAAGATATGTCCCCAAATTGTAAAGCTGTATTTGAAAATTCAAATCTTGAAAAAAAAATATTGTGATTTTTGAGTTTATCAGGCCAAAATACATTGGAAAAGAATAGTGGCATTAAATGTACATTTTGGCTGTAATCGGTTTTGGAAACGTTTGGTATAATTGTGCTTGTTCATTTAACTTACATGAACTTTTTAACATATTTAATGTGATTTTTTATATATTATTAGACGCAGACAAGTTAGGGCAACTGGGACCTTCATTGGGCATGAAGAAGTCATCAAGTTTGGAGTCGTTGCAAACTATGGTTCAGGAGGTAAGACGTTTATTTATTTTTACTTGAAAATGTTAATTTTTAATTTTTAGATTCAAATGCAAGAAGAAGCCGATCCGGCTTACAGCTACAGAGGTCCAAGTGGCGCCCTGAAAGTAATAAGAGGTAGAGGCTGCGAGGAAAGCTTCAGAGCGGCGGTCGTGGATCCGAATCATCGAAACGAGATGGGTGCGAAAAAACACTGGTTGCTAGACGGTCCTTTGGAGAACGAGAGAGAAATAGACGGCTTTAATAACGTTAGAGGTGCCCCGAGGCAATCCTCCCTGAACGCTGCCATCGACAAGAAATCCGGCAAAAAGAAGCCCGGACTTCTCAAGGGTATCGGGTCCATGTTTAGGTTCGGTAAACACCGTAAGTTGGATTTCCCCGTGCAAGAACAGCAACACTATCATCACACGAACGAGTTCGATTCCAATGCGAACCCTCAACAGCAACAATCACAAAAACACGAAGTCGCGGATAGCGACAATCAACATCACGCTGAAAACCAAAGCACCAAATCAACGGAAAGACTGCAAGATCAACAATTGGCCAATCAAAGTCAGAATTCGCAACATTCCCAGCACTCGCAACATTCCCAGCAATCACAACATTCCCAGCAACAGCAACAAATGCAGCAACAGCAGCAGAATCAGCAGCCACACAATATGCATCAACAGATTTATCAGAGGCATGGCCTAATACACCGACATGCTGAACAGGTACAGGTAAGAACTTTTAAAAACTTTTTTTCCAAAAAAATACGAAAAAACATTCATTAATGCATGCTTCAAATAATGTGGGTCTTAGAACTATACCTTGTGTCATACCTAGGTTTTAAAAATTTCGACAAAAAAAAACGGAAAAAACTGTTATTTTTTTTAAAGAAAATTGTCTATTTTTGGAAACATTTGAATTTGTTTTGGAAAATATATATACACATTTTAATAAAAGTAGCAATATACAACTTAACATTATTTTAATTTAAAAAAATATCCTTTAGTACTGTAAACACGGGTGGCCTTAGCTCACTTTCAAACTTTGTGGTTTTAACAATTATAAACATTAAATTTTGTATACCAAAATTTGAGTCTTGAGTTGCTCTTTCTTAATAACTATGTTATAATATTACATAGTTTCAAAAATAAAAATTAAAAACTGGCTGTGTATTTTCCGTATAAAATTAACTCAATATTTTATTTTATTTTTATTAGACACTTGTTAGCAGCGACATATTTCTATTGCAAGGGATTACCGATAAAAAAAATAAAAAATCGACCTGTAGTTAATCAAGAATCATCATTCCAAAGGATTGCGCATAATATAGAAATTGTAACGCGTGTATTTCTAAGAGTTTTGCACTGATGCGATATATACAATTTTAAAGTGTAATAAATCCCATTTCTTTCTTTAAAACACTAATTTTCCTGTAATATAAACTCAATAGAATCGCTCAATTGACAGGTTTAGACCAACAAATTATAAATGTTAATTTTATCGAGCGCGAAAAGATTTTTCATAAAAGGGTTAAAGTCACCCGTGTTTACGGTACAGAAAAAAAACAAATAAAACTAAACATTGAATTGAATTCAATTTATTTAAGAAAATAAAAGTAAACTGTTGGTTGGATTATTTTTGCAAAAAGGAGTCCAGTGAAAGTATTCATTTACAAAATAATGAATTGATAAAGCTAAATTACAAAATTATAATTTTATAAATCAATTTGTCAAATAAAATGATAATAATGTTAATACAGCACCAAATATGTTTTTTAGGCACGCTATAATATTCTATCTGCTGCTATTGTGTTTTTCCGTAAATAATGATTATCATTATAAATTCCCTGTTTAACAACGGGAATAATAAACTTAATATTCACGTTGTTATGCATCAGGGATTGGCTGACTTCAATATTCATTGTAATTTGAACCAATCGGCTTTTAAATTGGGAGAAGTCGACTATAATAACATTTAAAATTGGTAAAAAGTGAGGTTAACCATTAGACAGATGTCAGAATTTATTTATTTATTTTTAAAAATCATTTAATTTTCTACCTACTTATTAAGTAGAAGTTATTATAATCGCCTTCCCTCAATTTAAAGCCCGATTGGTTCAAATCACAGTGAATATTGAAATCGGTCAATCACTGATGCCTGACAAGGTGAATTACTATTCTTAGACAGGAACTTTATAATGTTTGTAATTATTCACGAAAAAAACCTAATGTCATGCAATAGGAGTAGATAAAGTATGGTACTTGAGATAATGCGCATTATTCACTCGGATGATTTAAGTCCCTCGACCCGCATTATCTCTTGTATAATAATATACTATTTTGAATTAAAATAGAAATAATTACTTTAATCATAATATTAAATAATTTTTATCAGAGTCGGAAATTCACTTCGATATCAGTGAACGGATTATTCCTTAAAAAAGCTTTGGAAAATTGTCTTTTTTGAAAAAAATCAACACATACACATTAATAAATCAACAAATTAACACTATTTCAATTACAAAAATATCCTTTATTACAGTAAAAAAAAACAAATAAAACTAAACATTGAATTGAATTCAATTGATTTAGAAAATAAGTCCATTGAAAATATCCATTTACAAAATAATGAATGATTTATAAAGTTAAATTACAAATTTAATATTTTATAAATTGATGTGTCAAATAAAACTAGATTTGTGTTAATACAGCACCGAATATGTTTCTTCGCGGCCCGGTTTAATATTCTTTGGGAATTAAAATAATTCACATTTTTCTCGATATCGATATTACCTGTAAAACAAATTCCCAGGCCTTTTTTTTGTTGAAAAGTTGATTTTTTTTAAATATAGATACACATTTTATTAAAAGTAGCACGAGGTGTAAACCACTGATTTTTTTAAACAACATAACGTTGAACGTTGGTCTTGGTGATTTTAAAGTGGTTTACACCTTGAAGTAGCAATCAACAAATTAAAATAAACTTAATTTTAAAAAATATCCGTTATTACAGAAAAAAAACAAAACTAAACAGTGAATTAAATTAAATTGATTTAAGAAAGTAAACGTTAACGTTAAATAAAATTTTGGTTGGGTCCTTTTGCAAAAAGGAGTCCATTGAAAATACCCATTTACAAATTAATTAATGATTTATAAAGTTAAATTATAATTTTATAAATTGATGTGTCAATACATCACCGAATGTTTTTTGCGGCCCGGTAAAACTTAAATTAAAAGTATATGAATATTTTTTATAATTATAGTATTAAATGGTTATAAGAGTCGGAAATTCACTTTTATCTTTGTTATTAAAGGTTATCCCTGAAAATTCAGTGGCTCCACCTGTAAAATACCGTAACGAGAGAAGAGATCGTAAATTCCACGAACAAAGATTGGCACAAAGGCATACTTATTATCCGACTGAAGAGCGGGAAAATATTTATGATCACCGTGTACAACAGCAGCAGCCGATTCCTGTAAGTTTTACGACATTTGCAATGTTCAGTTTCAGGTCATTTCAGTCATAAAACTGTTCAAAAATTGACGAAAAAAATCATAAAACTGTTTTGTTTATCTTTTTTTAGCGTCAATCTGAAATCTACGGCGAGCTGTACGGTCGCCCTGGCAGTCGTTCGGGCATCACCGAGCCCCCGGTCCCCTTCACGCACTACGTCAACTACAACGAGTTGCAGACTCACCTGAGGTAAGAAAGCACAACTAATCTGGGCTATGGATGTTGTCACTTAACTTTTACACGTTTATTTTTAAATTAACAGGCAATGGGCCTCGATTCAGTTCAATGTTTATTTGTTGTCTTTTATGTTCTATGTTGTGCACAACTCATATGTAACTAACACAATGTGGTATGTTGCATGACTCTGATAATATCAATGTCAATACACAAATTTATAATGTCTCTTATTTAAGGAAATATTAAGAACTTTTTTAAAACCACCATATCTAAATTTGATTAAAAATATTATCATTATTCTTAAAATGTATTTAAAATGCAGTGGCGAAGCATGACATTTTTGTATGGGTAGACAAATAGTGGTAAAAAATTTCATATACAATTGGTTGTTTTTTTTTTAGGACTGAGTAATATTTAATAATTTAAATGATAAGGTTCAATACAATAAAAAATTGCACTTTGTGTATGCTTCAAAATTAAAATAATACAGCCAGCCTGGGGTGATAACTTGGGTCAAAGTTTGAAAAGTTAAATAAAAACAAAATTTTGTAACTTGCAGAAAAGTTAGGGTTTTAAAATTAGTAGTTGCACGAAAATGAATAATTACACCTAATTTTTGACTGTGTAAATGTGTCTTTTCTTGATGGCACATTAATTTGTAATAAAAATGACAAAACTTTTCATATAGCAAAAACAATCATAGGCTAGTTTTAGACCATACATTTTCTACATTTCCAAAAAATACCATGGAAAAAATAATTTAATTGGGAGAAAATGAGGTTGAATTGGTCTAACACAAAGATGGCGCCACCAGTGTTTATTCCGTTATTCTGTAACATTTGTAAGAAATATATGTAATTCTACATTAAAAATGTTTTTCTACTCCTATTACGGAATTTGACCGTTCTATTATCACTTTTATCTAGGGAATGACATATATTCCGTAAAGTGTTACAGAATGAAATATTCTATCATCACTCATGGCGACATCTCTGTTTTTAATATCTAACAAATTTTAGACCGATCCAACCTCACTTTCTTCCAATCAAATGACTTTTCTATGGTATTTTTTGGAAACGTAGAAAAAGTATAGTCTGAAACACGTTTGGAATTGCATATTCCGCTCTTGTGAAACCGTCAAACTCGCCTTCGGCTCGTGTGACAAACTCTTCACTCGAGCGGAATATGCTATATTCCAAACTTGTTACAGAATATACTATTACTCTTCACTTAAGTGACAAATATATGTTTTAAATGACTCCAATCCAGGAGGCATAGGTTAGATTCCCAGCATCGGAATGCTTTTTAAAAATAAATACTTCCCAAATAAATTTTCAGAAAAAAATGTGGAAAAAGTTTAAAGCTTATTTTAAATAATAGGAAAACAAATTTTTAAAGACATTTTTAAAATCGACAAATAAAGTTAATATTTTTGACGGTAAATTATATTTTAAATACATTACATTTGGGTCATTCCACGTAAAACACAATAATGGAAAAAGTTTACCACCAATGTTTTTTTAAAATTTTTTGTATATGCTAATAAGGTAACCACAAATCTCAATGTTGAAGGTTCCAAGATAATTAATTATTGTAATATTTTAATTTTTAATAACTCCTTTTGTGTATCTTCCAGTAACTTCTATTGTGTTTGCATTTTTTTCTAAGCTTGAAGGCGGAAAGCCAAGATGAATTTTCTTGACAACATTTAAAAATTTGCAACGATTATGCAAAAACAATGGAACACAATTATAATTAAATTTTTTAAATCAACTTAAAAAGTTACCCTTAGAAACAAACTGTTACTTTAGTAACCTTAACAGTTATTTAAGGAATTAAATGGCATATTTGCAAAAAATTAATTATCGGGGAACCGTTAAAAGTAAGTTTTTTATTTTTTGTTATCCTAGCCTATAAAAAATAAAATTTAAGGAAAATCTGTGTTGGTGTGAATGCACTGTGTGATCTTACGTGAAATTTATCAAAAAAAACTATAGAAACTTTTTTGTGTTCAGTTAATTTCCAACAAAAATACTTAAAACTCATTTTAAAATCCTAACTATTCTAAGACAAAATTAAAAAAAAAATCTTAGTATTAATATATTAAGAGTTTATACCTAGATAGGCTTTTTTGAGGTGCTCAGCAAGAATTTTAATTGGTTAAGATTATTTTGGGTATACATTGTCTACCCTCAAGCTTCTCCACTGTAAAATACAGGGTGTTATGTAATTAATGTTATATATTAAAATACTGAATACCTTTTGACATAAGGAATAAAGGAAAAATATTTAAAAAAACATTTTTCCAAAGATAAAGAAAAAATATGCATTAGAAGTTTTTTATATTTTTTGTGATACGCCACTGGTTACACACTTAGTTTATCTCTGCACACTTGTGTTTTGTGAGTACATAGATACCAACCAACAAAGTAGCTATGCGTTGCCAGATGTAAAAAATTGTTACTAAAAATTTTTCTTGCAAAAAATAAATAAAAACTCAATAAATACAAAAGTTTTATGCCCTTAAAGCTCTAATACCCTTCTGTATTTATTTACTGATCCAACTATTAGCTTAAGCAATGATTAGAAAATTTAGTACCTTTGAAATTTGAAATCCATAACCACAAAATTAATTTTTTCATCAGTTTTTTTCTCTGTTTACTCAGATGAAATTGGGACCAGTTCACAGGTTAAACTTTAAACATTTAATTTGTGTAAATAAATCCAAAAGCACTTCCCTTAGTTAAGATATTTACAATTTGAAAACATAACCTAAAATTTAAAAGAAATGCACTAGATTCTGTCATAAAAGTTGGCAGATTTTGTTTGAATTTACCTTCAGTACAAAAATGACATAACCAACAATTAATAAAAACGCCAAATTGACAATTTGCATTGTTAATTTTGTCATTTTTGTAATTAAGCTAAATTTAAACAATGTTTGTCAACTTTTTTGTTGTTACCAACCATAACATAATAAATTCACCAGATTAACCTAGTCGATCAGTGGCGTACTTTTTGGTAGGATAAAGGTTATTATAAATTATTTTTAGACTTTGGAATTTAGAAAAAAAAAGTTTCAGGTGCTTCTTTATGGACCCTAAGGAACAACCCATTTTAATATATAACATTAATTACATAACACCCTGTATAAAACATTTTTAAAATTTATTTTTGGTTTTAACAAATTATTTCCAAATATTATATCGGCGTAGTTTAAAATAAAACATCTTTCGTATAATTTTTTGTACAAATATCTGAAAACTTTGTAATTAAAATAATTGGTTTTGTCCCGTTCAGCCGCAAAGACCCCCTATCTGACAGTCAGATAATTCAGATGCGTCTGCAAGTTCAACAGCAAAGATTAAAGGTGGAGGAAGAAAGGTATGCACTGTATTATGCACACTATGATACTACTACTACAAGTACTACTATGTCATTTGGCGACCTGGTGTAGGACTGCACATTTGATTTTAGTATATATATTTTGTTTTGTACATACAGTCGTTTTGGTTTTTCATTTACTAATTACTAATGTGAGGCATGTGTTTGATGTATTATGCTTGGGCCTGGTTTTTGCTTATATATAGGTAATTTGGTTTTTGTTTTATTTTAATATATTATCTATAGATAGTTGGCGAAACAACGTAAGAAACATAACTTTTTGGCAAAAGTACTACTTTCATTTGTTAAACGTATAGGTGTTGTGTAAATAAAACTCAAAAAACTCATTTATAAATATTTTCAAAAAAGTTTATTGAGTTACTTTTTGATATTTTTTTATTCTGCTTTAGCTTAGGGGAAATGCGTTTTTTATTACTATAGTATTATACAGTGTGCATCAAGTATACTTCTATGGGTATTTTTTTATTTAAAGAGCTTCAAGGTCGGTTAAATTTGGGAAGGTGGGCATAATTATAAGCCTATTTATAAATCGAAATATTAAAAAAAAATTCAATTTGCTACTATATTTTGAGTTACCATCATCATCTTTTGTTTTTACAATGACCACCATAACTTATGTAGTTTGATACATCATTGGATTCCTTGATTTTTTTCTATCTGACCATGTATAATTTCAATATAGCGGCCATAGGAAAAACAAAAGATGGTGGTGATAACTTAAAATCTATTTTTCTATCTATTTTTTTTATTTCCAAGAATAACAAAGTTATAACGATTCTTGGTTTTGACAAATGAATTTAATAGACTTGTAATTAAGCAACTTTTAACCAACATGTAGCTCTGTAAATTATTAAAACTGCATTTCTCCTAAATAAAATGTGATATTAATAATAATTATTATCTCAAAAACTCAAAGTTAAAGTTTATATTGCTTACCCTAGAGATTCTGTTTTTTGAGTTGTGGAACTAAAAAGCAAAAGGTAGAGATGTACGTTTTTTTTTTAAATTGAAAAAACAAAAAAACTTTTTTTAATAATTCACAATAAATTAAATTCTGTTCCATACGTATGTAAATAATAATTCAGTCCAACTTGAGCTCTTAACAAAAATTTTAAGAACTAAAAAAACTTAAACTTAAAGTTTTTCCATTGATTGATTAAATTACCCTCAGACCCACATTAAATTATATCATTGGATTAAAGTTTGATTTACTAACTTTATAAATTTATTCTTCTGCAAAAAAAGTCTAAAATTAATATGTTAAGAGATATACATATACATGTATCAAAATTTAAAATTTTGGCAAAAAATATTTTGATTTATTCTTGAAATATTTTTTTTTTATTGTTTTTGGTACTAACAAATAAAATAAGTGAAAGCAAACATTATTAATATACCTAATTATTATTTAGTTATAAACCATTATTATTCAATTTTCTAAAAATTTAAATTAACTTAATTAGTTTTTGTATATTTCTTAAAATATTAATTTTAGAGATTTTACTTTTACTTACATGACCTTTTTTGTGAAAAACGAATTTTCCTAAAAAAAAATTTATAACAAGTTTTTGCTAAAATTTTAAATTATATTTTACTGCGAAAAACTGGCAAAATGGCCAAAACTATGCTTGATTGTATTAATAAGAAAAATTTTGAAAAAAGAAACAAAACAATTTTTCACATTACATCTCTACTTTTAAGTACCTATATCGATGACTTTTTGCCTAAGTATCGCAAGCAACATAACCCAAATTTTAGGAATTGAAAACATTTTGCTTGTCTGTTTTAAAATAAATATAGCCTAAAGGTTTTATAATAAGTAAATATATAATTATAACTAATAGTTATTAACTATATACTAGATATAAAACCTATAGGTTACATATGGTTTAAAACAGACTTTAAAACAAAACATGTTTTCAATTCCCGAAATTTGAGTTATGTTGCTTGCGATAGCAGAAAGTCATCGATATTATAACTTATGCGAAACTTGTACTTTTTGCTAAAAAAATAGTCTTGTTTTTGAGAACAGATATTTTTTAATCCTAAATAATTTGCCATATTGCTTTTTAAATTTAAATTATAGTTTTAAAAGCTAGTGAAATCTAAAGTGTCTTAAAACGAGAAAACTTTATTGGCTGAAATCAAATCAGAAAATAATGTCTTTTTACTTAAAATTCATAATTCCTCGTTTTAAACCACATATCGCACATGGGTGACAACAGTGTCATAAGTAGTAAAACCTTAATTCCGAGATAATGACCGTAACTTACACTGTAAGTTAATAGAATTTTATTATTCAAAAATCTTTTACGGTCATTATCTCGGAATTAAGGTTTTACTACTTGTGACACTGGTCGCCTATGTGCGATATATTTATCAATATTAAAAATGTGATTATTTTTTAATTTATTTTGTCTTTTTGCACTTGCAACACTAATGTATGGTTTGGCATATCTTTATTTAACTATTCCACGTCATTAAATTTTATATTTTAATTTTCAGCCGAAAACAACACCAATATCATTCACAACGGCAACCAAGGACGGACAATTCGTTAAGACCCGTGTCTAACTATTACGAATATGAAAGTGTGCAATCAGTATTAATAAACAATAGGGGTAGGTTTAATTGCGAAACTTTACTTACCTATGTATCTAATAAACTAATTTTTTTTAGGAAATCGTCAAAACATTCCAATTCACAACATGCAATCAACTCAACCCCCTCCAATGTACCAGGATACGAATTCCAACTCGTTGCCCAGGCAACAGCAACAACAGCAGCAGCAGCAACAAGTCCAGGGTCGGCTTCAGATGAGGGGACAAAGGGGACCCTTTGTAACACACGTCACAATAGGAGAGAATCAACAAAATGGGACTAAAGTGTAAATAATTGTTTTTAGAATTAATTTAAATCATTTTTATAGACTTGTAATTTATCATGTGCTCATAAAATTATTTTTTAAAAATATTCCAATAATTAGGCTATTGCCATCTATTCTTTTATTGTGTATATAGATCGTATATATTTTTATTGTACATAACTATTATATAAAGAAATAAATTTTATACAAAATTAAGCAGTCTTTTATTTCATAATACTACATTATGTAACTATAGTTTTATTAACATTATTTAATACACAAGTTGCATTTGTTCTACAACAAATATTATAAAATGGTATATTATATTTAAATAGAATAATAAAATTCGTGTTTAAAATGACGAAACTTAATATATTAAGTTTTGTCATTTTAAACACGAATTTAATTTAGGCACTTGAGCTTGTGAGTGAGTGCTTAATTTAGTCAGTAATTTTGTAAAAGAATGACAGATTTCTATCAATATTACTACTTTGATTATTGATTTTTTTTATTAAATTTCTGATGGCAAAACTAATAAAACTACTCGAAAAAATAAAATAAATATTGGCCATATTGCATATTAATTTTAATTAATACCAAGGGCGTCGATAAGGGGGGGTAATGGGAATAATTAACCCCCCCAAGATAGAAGTCCTAAGAAAAAAATTACTACAAATGTAATTTATGAATGCAAGTAGCCCTCTAAATAGTTTTTAAAGTGTGGCATAATTAAAGCCCTATTTTATTACTATTGCACTAGATGGTGGTAAGGTACAATATTGTGCGAATTAATGTGAACACAATAGTTATTTGTTTTACAAGTGTTGAAAAGCGACTTTTTCATGCGAGTTTTTAAGTTGCCCACGAGGCCGTTAGGCCGAGTGTGCATTAACACGAGCTTGAAGAAAGCTTTTCTCACAAGTATAACACAATGTTTTTTCTGCGACACTTTTATTTTTTATTATTTTTAAATACAAAACAAAATAACCTAAAAACTTTTTGACAGCTGAATGTCAAACGATGCTTTCCGGTTCTTTTCACACAGACCTGCCACTTTTCACACAGAAATGTCACTTTACATTCGTGTTTTGCCTTGCCAATGAAAAGATTCATTTTCTAAGCAACGATGCCATCATGAAAAGTGACTTTTACATAGTGGTCGTAGAAAAATAGATTTACGTTATATATTATTTATTGAAATAAAAAATACAAAAAGGAGTAAAGTCCATTCAAATCCAAGCTGGACTAAATGTAAACACAATCATCCGACCAATAAGAACTCACAATCCGAGTCACGATATTAGAATCAACCAATAAGAACGCGTCTGGGCGTTTTTGTTTAGTCTAGCTTGGAATTGAATATATTCAGTCATTCCTAATGTTCACATTAATTCGCGCAATACTGCAGATAGTAAATTTAATTCGCAAAATCGCAATGATTTCACATCTTGTGGGCATCATCTAGAGTGAACGTCCGCCCCCAGCATATGCTGGGGGCGGACGTTCACTCTAGATGATGGATATCCTTAGATTACCTAGGTACTATTTTTTTAAATACATATGTTTATGAGATATTTAGTTTTGGTAGGGTAGAGTTGCCATTCCCAGTAGTCAGCCTCTTTGGCATAAATCTGTTAAAATAGTCTTCGGCAGTTAAAAATCATAAATATAATGTGTTCCCAATGCTCAGCCCACCCTTTCCACCTTTAGTTTAAAATTTTGTGGCCCTGACTGGGAAAATAAGTACACCGAGAAAAATCTGAGATTTATAATTAACCAACGACTGTTTTCACGAATAATATTAATAAATAAATCAACTTGGGTATTATTAACAATAGCGTGTTTGTATAAAGTAAATTAGCATTTACAGATTAACAATAAATATATGGATAGGATTAATGCTAACACAGCGTTTCTTATAAAAAAAAATATTTATATATTAATAGTTAATCAACATTGCGTTACTGTCACCCTGTAATTGTTTAAAATATCGGAAGTATATAATGCATTTAATTTAAACCATTTTTATTAATAATAAATAAATTTGTTCTCCCCCCAGGCCACTCGCGCAGCGGAAGCTTTGTTTTGTCGGCCATTGATAAAAAAGGTGCATCTTGTTCTGTGATTTTGTTCTGTGGAAGGTGTGTGGGTGTAATAAAAGTGACACTTTTAAAGTGTGTAATTGCATCAGATGTAGTTTACTTGTTGGGAATCGTATTAAGTAGCCCTCAACAGGTGCAATGCACTAAGAAATAATGGACTTTTTAAGTGACATAGGTTTGCCCTCCCTATTCCCGGTTTTTGTTGGTAAGTAAAGTTATAGCTACTTTATCCCAGTGGCGGCTGGTGGATTTTATGTATACCAATATCTCAGTTATTAGACATGGGACCCACACCAAATTTATAATAGTTTATAATGACATTAAATAAACAAGTTCGGCGCAAACAGAATTTAAATTGAAGTTTGCGAAAAAAAATTAGTTTTTCCTGTCGCCTCACCCGCCTCCAGGCACCCCTATTTAAAAAAAAAATTATAAAATATAAAATTTTAAGTTTGTCGATAAATTATAGTAGATAATAAATTGCACCACTTTAATTTGAATTATCTTAAATAGGGGGGCCTGGAGGCGGGTGAGGCGACAGGAAAAACTAACTTTTTTTCGCAAACTTCAATTTAAATTCTGTTTGCGCCGAACTTGTCTATTTAATGTCATTATAAACTATTACAAATTTGGTGTGGTCATTATAAACTACACCAAATTTATATATACCCAAAATCCACCAGCCGCCACTGCTTTATCATTTCATTATGATGGCTTGGCCTAATTTCCTCGATGTTTTGTGCCTAAAGTAATCAAATAAATCCAAATCTTGTTTTCATTGCCTGTCTTTAGCTATTGCTTGTAATTATTTTTAACGTACGTATATTTATTATTAACACACTGTTTTAAATAGTAATAAAAATGCATACCCACGCTATAGCTATAGTTAGTGTTTAACTTCTTCCTTTTTTATCATATAGAGAACTGCATTGAGGACTAGTCTGCAACAATTGGTACTTCACGGGGAGGAAAGTTTCTAGGTGTTATGTCCAATTATTGGACATAGATTAAAAATTAAATTAAATATTTTATATTTTTATAAATATATGTATTTTATTATACTTACCTGCTTTTATTTTCCATTTACGTGGATACCTATACTAATAAATACACAGAGAGAAAGGAGTGGTTGTAAACACCGTAATAGGTTTATATTTACCTTAACGTAGCATTGTATTTTGCCGACCTCATATGGGTTTATAGTAAACACATCTTAAAGTATATCATATTTATTTTTTAATAAAAGTTAGTTCGGTAACAGTTAAAACATGAGTTAGTTAGCTATTAATAAAAAAAACGCTATGTTAGAAAAGTATTCTTATAGTAATTGGTCTTCACTTAATAGTTAATCCACAGGCGCTTTATATTAGAAAAGCCTATTTATAGTAAATGAACTTAAGGTAATATTTCATCCACAAGAGCTTTGTATTAAAAATGCAATAGGTGTTTATTATAATGCGAGAAATAATAATAAATATTTTAATTAATTGCAATTATCAATTCATATTTTAACTATTAGAAATGTATGATTATTAGTATAGCATGTATTTATAACAGTGCGATTGTATAAGGTAATAAATAAAAGTGTGTATTTATAAGAAAATTTATTTTTGAAAAAAGTTTAAAAATATTTAAGGTGTAACAGAACAAAAAAAAGAAAGTGGCGTCTGGGGGGTTTTGGGTATACCGATACTTAGTTATAAGACATGGGACCCACACCAACTAAGATATCGGTATAGCCAAAATCCACCAGCCGCCATTGAAAAATGAATACATTTAGAGTAAGCTTATACCTATGAGTACACTGAAAAAAATAAGCTGTTGAAACAACAAAAAAAATATTAATTCAACTCTTTATGCACTTTAAATACAAGCAATGGTTTTTGCACGTTTACTTAACCATCTAAAAATGTCAAATTGTATTGTTTAATTGAACAACAAATAACAGTCAAATGAACAAAATAAGAATATTTGTTCTAATCTGCTAATTTGGTTAATTTAACATTCTTAGGGTGTTAAGGTAAATTTCTTGAAATGTCCAGGTAACCTTTTTAGCATATTCACTTAACACCAATAAAATGTTAAATTAACATTTTGAAAATGTAAAATTCTTTAAAGGTTGGTGTCCAAAACAAAATTATGGAAATAATATATTATTATATATAAATAGAAATAATTGAACCTTCACCTCGCCCAGAGTTTTTGTTTTGAGCGTGTTCCACCCATGATACATGTATCATGCATGCATCTTTGTATCATGTGTTCCACCTACTTCAAATACCGACAGACTGTTTCGCCCTGTATTGAGGGTCTTAACAGTGTCGGGCAATATGGTGTAGTGAAAGTTCTACTGTGGAACACACCTTAAACAAACAGATATCTGATCTTATATACACCTAATCGTAAGCCAACTAAGGCGAGATGTAAGAAAACGTCATTGTCTAATGACGTGGCGTGAGTGTTCGAAGCGCCATTCTCGGCAATTTTATGAATGCAAATTTTACATTTTAAATTTTAAAATAACATTTTAAATTTTTTAAATGAACAAATTTAAAGTTTTGGATTAAAGAGCAACTAAACGTTAATTTAATAGTTTTTTTAGGTAATCCTAAAAATTTCAGTAGTTGATTCAACAAATTCCAGCTATTAAATCAAAGTACGATAAACATTTTAATTCAAAATATTAGTTTATGTTAAATTAATATTTAAACTGTCAAATGAACAAATAAACTTTGACAAACTCTGACTTTTGCTTTAACACCAAAATATAGATTAATCCAATAGGTTTTTTGTTGAAACAACATTTTTAAAAATGACATTTAGGCAAATGTTAACTCAACTACATTATTTTTTTCGGTGTACATAAAAATAATAATAATTAAAGTAATATTAAAAAAAAAATGTAGTGATATTTTGTTGCCGGAAGCTCATTAAAGATGAGTGGTAACTTCTGATTTCAAATCAGTGATTTGTAGTTAGAACTATAATAGTTCTAAAAGAATTTAATTTTTATTTTTTTAATGCTTTATATTTCCTGTTTTATTTCTATTTACCGGGCTCCCTATAT